CACGTGGAGGTGTTGGCGCAGAACTGGCCGCCGGGGCAGCACCACAGCCCAGTGGCCCGGCAGGTCGCGCAGGTGGTGCCCACGTGCTTGGGGCAGGAGCCTGCCTTAACGCACTCGCCGTTGACGGAGCATGCTCCCTTGGGGCAGGTGCAGTTCATGGCGTCCTTCATGCGGAATGCCCAGCCCGCGGCGTTGGCGTCCGCACCCACGACCGTGCACTCTGCGTGGCGCCACCACATGCAGTCGATGAAGTTGCAGCTCCCGCCTGTGCTGACCTCGCATGATGCAACGGTCGGACGCAGAAGACTTGCCAGACCAGCGGTCACTGCCCACCATGGCATGGCCATGTGCTGGCCAACTACCGAATCGTACTGGGAGCAAGGAAGGCATGCGGATCCAAGCCAGACGCCAGAGCCCCAATGACTTGACGCTGCGCCAGACCCCCAACTCGCCCTCCAGTCAAACGATGGCAGGACACAGCGACGCGAAGGGTCTTCCGCCGCCAGGGGAATGGGGGAAAACACCAACTCGAAGGACTCTCAACGTCACCTGCTGGCCAGAACCGCGCCTTGTATAAGACCCCCCCCCCAGAGACGTGCGAAAACGCGCGCGGAGCTCACTGCCCACCCGCGGACGCGCTCTCTGCAAGAGTTGCAACGCCCAGGCCTCCGGTGGCCCCGCCTGCCCGCGTCCGCGATCGGGCTTCTGTCGACTCGGGGCAGACACCACCCAGGCAACCTCCAAGACAGCTCCAGAGGGCCCAGACAACGCCCCAAGAGGGATCCCAGAGAGGGAACACGAACCGACGTTTCGAGCTATCCGCCCCAAGAGGCCTCCCAAGAGGCCCCCAAGAGGCCCCCAAGTGGCCCCCAAGGGACCCCCAAGGGGCCCCCAGAAGGCCCCCAAGAGGCCCCCAAGAAGCCCCCAAGGTCCTCCCAAGAGGCACTAAAGCTGCCCTCCAGAGGCCACGGAGAGCAAGAAGCATAAATGGGGACTTTGACCCACAAGCCAGCAACGGCTCATGGGTCGAAGCCGCCGGCCCCCTTGCGGAGCCATCAGGCAGCGTGGCGGAGGTTAGCTGCTCCCTGCTCCAATTCCAGCTTCCAGTCTCCAATGTGATAGATCCATGTGCTGTCTCCAAACTAGAAGCTGGTACTGCCCAAAGCTCAAAAGCACCTTGGTTACCACGCCAGGGTCACGTCCCCAGAATTCCTGGGAGACCGTAGGACACGTAAAAGCACTGGAGATTTGCGCCCCCAAGGCTACGATCCGTTTTTCTAGTACTCAATATTCGAGTCCCCGAAGCGACGACCCCTTGCAAATTACACCGTATTCACGCATCCTAAGCCACGATCCTTTGTAAATTGCACCAAACCAAATTCGCCCCCCCGAGTCCACGATCCCATTAAAATACCAAAAATGCTTGTCCCCGAAGCCACGATCCCTCGACAAATAAACGAGATTCGCGTCCCCGAGGCCACAATCCCTTGTCAATAATAAAAATCCTCGCGTCCCAAATGCTACGAACCCCTGTAAATTACATAGTGCTCGCGTCCCCAAGGCAACGAGCCAATGAAAATTAAACAATATTCGCGTCCCCAGGGCCACGATCCCTCCTACATTACGCGATGTTCGTGCCGAGGCCAGGATCTCTAATAAATTACGTCGCGTTCGCGCCCCAAGCGCCACGATCCCTCGTGTAACTTACGCCATATCCGCGTTCCCGAACCTACGGCCCCGTATAAAGTACGCCGAGGAACCCAAAGACCGCCCAAGCCGCGCGAGTTTGCCCAATGTAGCCTCAAGCAGCCCCCAATCATTGCAAGAGGAACTCCAATACACAGCATAAGGGGGAAGTTCGAAAAAGGCAACACAGAGCTCTGCAAAATCATCTGGATTTCAATGTGTCTTGAACATTACCTATCGTCCTCGCATGAAATTCCGATATTGCCTCAAGGCGGCGCCCAGGCATCCCAGCATGGCTCCTGGCAGCTCTTACTGGAATGGGTCCCAGGTCTCCAGCGCCCCCTGCAGCTCGTCACACCTTGTCCCCACACCGAGGCTTCGCGCCCTTAGCATTAAATCGGGCACGTCCCTTGGGCCCTCTTGTGGCCATATTGAGGCCACTTGTGGCGTCTTGGAAGCCTCTTGAGCCATCTTTCTTGGGCGTCTTGGGGCGATCTTGGGGCGACTTGGGGCCCTGGGCTCGTTTTGGGGTCCTCCTGGGCGGGGTAGGCCGACGCGACGCGAGCAATTCAGGCGGACCCCAGGACATCCAGGGAAACGACTCGTCCGGGCCCTTAGACCCTTACAATTCTGGCTGCAGCAGCAGCACAGCCCTCCCAGTGCTGCATGAGCCTCGGGGCACTCCACTTCGTGCCAGAGGCACGGTGGCGCATGTGTATGTGTGTATACATATCTATATATATATGTGTGTATAGATGTATAAATGTTTAAATGTATACGTACGGGCGTCGCCCTCTGCCGCCAGCCCCCTCTCAATCAGAATTGGGGTAGGGACGAATCCTTGATTTTCATTTGGTGTTTGAAGGATTTGGGCGTTCTCGCCTGTTCGGCTTTCCGACACTCCAAGACGGCCCAAGAGGCCCCCAAGACCACCCAAAGACGGCCCAAGAGGCCTCCAAGAGGACCCCAAGACGGCCTACGAGAGCCACAAGACTGCCCAAGAGGCGCCCAAGACGGCCCAAGAGGGCCAGAAAGGGGCCCAAGAGAGAGAGAACACGAACCGAAAATCCAAGCCTTACGCCCCACAAGGCCCTCAGGAGGCCCCAAGAGGCACCCAAGAGGCCCCAAGAGGCCCCAAGAGGCCTCCAAGAGGCCTCTAAACGGCCCCCAAAGGGAGGCCCTAAGAAGCCCCAACACGGCCCCCAAGAGGCATCAAAACTGCCTCCTGGAGGCCCCCGAGAGGCCCCCGACGAGATCCCCACGAACATCAACTTGGCTTTATGCCCACGACCCAGGCACGGTGGCGGGATGGGCTGCAGACCATTAGCTATATAAATATATATATATATATAAACACACACAAGGATGCATTGGCGCTTCGCGCCATGCACCTTGTTCCTTGAAGCTTTGGAGCGGTTGGCCTGTCGCGCCTTCCTCTTTCCCCTTTGAGGCGTGCTCGTTCGCTCGTATCATGGAGAAGCGGGGGAAGGGGAAAAGTGGGCAGTCAAGTTAGGACGGGCAAAGACTGTGAGTCGGAGACCACGGGCGCACGGAATGGCGTAAATGGAAACTGCTGAAGTCCTGGGTGCGCAACAAAATTTCCAGAAAAATTGTTGCGAACCTGGGGTTGTAGGCAAACTGCGGCATTCCGTAATGAAAAACCATCTGAGCGGGCGAAAACTCAAGGATCTACATGGGGGCCTGCCGAAGCGGTGTGAGGGCCTTGTGGCCCATCTCGGAGCCACCTCGGACTGTCCTCGGGGCGTCTTGGGACTGCCGCTCGCCCGTTTGCACGCTTGGGTGAACGTTGAGAAGGCGCCCTGGAGAGCTGGAATTCCTGGGTGGCCCTGTTGAGGATCGTCCAAACGGTGTCCCCGGGCTGTCATGGAGCCGCCTACGGGCAGTTTGGGAGTCGTCTAGGGCCCTCATGGCGCCTTCCTGAAGAGTGAGGATGCTGATTTGGCTCGTGTTGGGGCCTCCCCTGGCCGTCAAGGCGCCGCCCATGGACAGTTTGGGGGCCGTCCCGGGCCCTCGTGGGGTCGCTTTGGGGATTCAGGAAGCGTGTTTGAGTTTAGTTGGAGCGGTGGTCAGAGCTTTGACAATGTTTTCGGACGCCAGGCAGGCCGAAGGAACGAATGGTAGCAAATCTGACAACGTCATTGAAACGGCGGGCTGACGCGAGTAACATTCGACGCGCCTTCGAGCATCCAGCAAGGGCCTGGACCGCATGATGCCATCTTGGACCGTTTGTGGCGTCTCTAACACATTGCGCCAACCGTCGCAGGGTCAGTTTTGTGCGGTCATGGGGACTCTTGTGGGCAGTTTGGGGACCGCTTCGAGCGCTCATGGGGCTCATTTGGGCCGTCTAGTCTAGGAGCGGATGTCAGTGCATTTCAAACGTTCTCGGACACGTGGAAGGCCGAATTAGCGAGCATCCGAAAATCATACAAAAACCAATGAAACATCGATGTTGTTGGGGTTTGAACGCCTCTTTGGGGTGACGTTGGGGTGATCTTCGGGCATCCAGCGGGGGTCAAGGCTATCTGGATGCCATCCTGGACCGTCCTGGGTGGCTCTTGGGCTTTTCGTCGATCGATTTGGGACTGCCACGCGCCTGCGTGCACGCCTTGGCAAGGATTTCCGGCCTCCCCCCGTGCTACGGATCCGGGGGGGTCCCGTTTCGGGGGGGGGGGGTCTCACCCCCCGGATTATAAACATATAGAAAAGGGAATACATGTGTATATATATATACACACATATATATATATAAATACACATATATGCAAAGATAAATACGTGTACAACCACACACACACATACATATGATGTATACAGATGAACAATTAAATCGATTGGCGTTGATAGATAGATTGCCTGATTGATTGATGGATAGGTAGATAGATACACACGTAAGCTGCACCAGGTGCCCACCTGGAGCGAGACCTGGGCAGGACAGCGAGAGCTCTCCGCAGACCCTCGGCGAACGTGCACCTCGGCGACTCTTCAGGCAGGCGCCCAGCTGGCTCCAGGCACACCTGAAGCAGGCCCACGTGGACATGCGTACTCCACATCCTTCAATAAGCCCCCCCCCCGTGCCAACCTATCCGACGCCCATTGCCCGCCCCCCCACGCGCCCAAAACCCACCCCCTCTCGCTCCCCAACCTCCCCACGCCCCCCGAAGGACAGCGGTTTCCCACCCCCCCACGCGATCCCCCCCCCCACGCTTACTGAGAGACCTGGAGTATGCTGGACGTGGTGACGAAGCTGATGGGATCCCTTCTGAGAGGCGGGGGGGGCGGCTTCGAGACGAAGCTCAGAACCGGGGATCTGCAAGACGCGGTTCCACCTCAGGCGGACTCTGCACCGGGCAGCTCGGCGGAGCCCGCAGGCCGCCATCCACGAGCGGGAGCAGAACCCACTCGACGCCCGCGGCGATCGGAGACTCGAAAAGGCCGGGAGCGCGAGTCTCTGGTCCCTCCAGGCTCCCCGGGCCTGGCCGAGGTCGGCGCGTCCCCCCAAAACGCTGGCCACAGCATCCCCATGCGGTGGAAGTCGACCGATGTCTCGGCCAGCGCCCATCTGCACCGCGTTCTGCTGCCCATGCCAGGGCACAGGGATACAACGCACGCATCACTCGCACTGCTAATGCTCTTGCGGTGTCTGGCTGTTCCTGGCCCTGGGGCGTCTGGAGAGGGCCCCAGAGGCAGATACTAGAGCAGCGAATGCCCACCCCAACTGAGCCACGGCTGAATCGCAAGGGAACTATCACTGAGCGACCTTCGCGCAACCCAGGAAGAGATCCTGAGGCAAGTCGTCGTCGAAGTGCTCCGCGAGGTGAGACTCTGGCAGGCGCCTGTCTTTCCCGAGCTGGCTCTTCACGGAGACTGCGAGGTCCTGGCACAGAGTGCGTCGGCAAAGGCAACGGGGCACCGGCACCGGGGTGGGGGGCGAGGAAGGACTGGGGACACGTAAGACTCAGCTTCGGGGGACTCGGGTTGGCCCGACGGGGCCGGCAGGAAAAGGAAGCGATCCCGCTGCAAGCGTCCCACGAAAACTGGACCGTCCAGACTCGGAGACGGGCCCGCCGAAGAGCGCCGGCAGGTCCGAGTCCCGGCGAGGCCGAGCCCTGCGCCTCCCCGAGGGGCAAGGAAATCATGCGGGAGAGACGCGCGGCAAGCGGCACGCGGGCGGGAGGCGCCCCCGGAAGGCCGGGAGTGCAAAGCCGGAGGGCCGGGAGGGCGAGGGGTGCCAAGCATCCCGTGGCATGTACCTTCACGTCGAGTGGTACGGGGTTAAGGCGCCCCTTAAGCCATATCACTTCAAGTCCTCCCCCTCCTCCCCCTCCCCCTCCCCCTCCCCCTCCTCCTCCTCCTCCTCCTCGTCCTCCTCCTCCTCCTCCTCTCCTCCTCCTCCTCCCTCCTCCTCCTCCTCCACCTCCTCCTCCTCCTCCTCCTCCTCCTCCTCCTCCCCCCAGGCGGAGGAGGCCGCTGTGCCGCGGAGCAGGAGGAGCAGCACGAGGGCCAGCGCGGGGGAGCTCCGCGAGCAGGGGCCGCAGGGAGGGGGGCGCACGCGCACGCCGATGGAGCACCGCGCAGCGGGCACGCCGATGCTGCTGGCACGTCTTCTGCATCTTCTGGGCCGCCGAGGGCGCCTCTGGCGGCCATCCAGGGCCGCCGTTGTCCCCGTTGCGGCCGTCGTCCTTCCCCGGCTCTCGCCGTCGTCGCCGTACATAGGCGTGGGGCGGCGGGGGAGGAGGGGAAAGGAGGAGGAAAGAGGGAGGAGGGAGGAGGAGGGAGGAAGGAGAAGGGGAAAGGAGGAGGGGGAGGAGGAGGAAAGAAGGAGGAGGGGAAAGGGGAAAGGGGGCGGGGGATGAGGAAAGGGGTCGCGCAGTGGGCACGTCCATTGAGATGCCAGCCTGTCGGCTGCCAGCGGGTGCCCCACGCCCCCACGGTGGCTCTGGGAGCGGAGCTGGGTCTCCTCGGAGCCCCCCTCGGCACTCGACTGGGCAGGCGGGAGGCGTGCCTCCGGACCTCCCTCCGCGGGACGCCCGTATCGCATGTGCCTGCTGCACGCCTCGCCCGCTCGTTGGCGCAACTCGCGTGCCTCTGGACTTCCCCGCTGCGTGATCTCGTATCGCGGGTGCCTGCTGCACACCTCGCCCGCTCGTTGGCGCAACGCGTCTGTCAGGGTTCGGGTGCTACCAGCTAGAAGTGCCCCTGGCATCCCCAAGGTGCCCCCAGCTTTTCGCTCCATTTTGGAGCCCCTGGGGCCACTGGGCCTCGTGAAGGGTGCTCTGGAGGCCGCCTGGGCCACCCCGAGAATCCTGGGGGGACCTTGGGCCAGGGGCAATTGTAGCAACACCCGAAGGGTGCCCCGTGAACGTGGCCTTGCCAGCTCAGTGCATACGTTCTTCGCGGCCTGCAGCGATGCTGCGCTGCCCCCCCCCCCGACCTCCAAGACGCATCACCACCGGCCCGTGTGTTCACGCCCCTCCCCTTTCCCTGCCTCCCCCCCTCACCCCCCTCCCATCCGTCTCTCTTCTCTCCTCTCTCTCTTTCTCTCTCTCTCTCTCTATCTCTATCTCTCCCTCTCCCTCTCCCTCTCCCTCTCTTCTCTCTCTCTCTCTCTCTCTCTCTCTCTCTCTCTTCTCTCTCTTCTCTCTCTCTCTTTCTCTCTTTCTCGCTCTTCCATCCCGAACTCCCATTCCTCGCCTGCTCCCCTTCCCTCTCCTTCTGCCCCGTCTCACACCCCTCCACTCGTGCCCCTCGGGCGGGGGGTAATCGGGAGGAGGGCGATGACGACGACGGGGAAGAGAAAAGCATAGGGGGAGAAGGAGGGAGGATGCGTGCGGGGAAGAGGAAGAGGAGGAGGAGGAGGAGGAGGAGTCGGAGGAGGATGGCGCGGAGGAGCAAGAACAAGGGGAGGAAAGGGGTAATCGCGGGAGAAGCAGGAGAAGGAAGGAAAGGGGAAACATGGATGAGAAGAACTCGAAAGGGAGGAGAGGGCGATGGGAGCAAAAATCCTCCTCCTCCTCCTCAACCTCCTCCTCCTCCTCCTCCTCGTCCTCCTCCTCCTCCTCCTCCTCCTCCCTCCTCCTCCTCCTCCTCCTCCTCCTCCTCCTCCTCCTCCTCCTCCTCCTCCTCCTCCTCCTCCTCCTCCCTCGACTGGCCTTCGCATCATCACCGCCATCCAAATGCCCCCTCGCCAGCAGCCGCGCCGCCGCACCTCCGCCATCCGATGTCGTGACAACCCTCCCCCAAAAAATGTCCTGCACAAAAATGCACCGGAACCCTCGTCCCTACTTCTAGGCAGTGGTTTCTCTCGAACCGGGTCGATCCGAGACGCTTTCAGGGCCAGACACGACACAGACGCGGAAGCGCCCGGATGCGACGGCGCTTCCCCTCTGGGAGACACCCCTGGGTCCATCCTGGAGCGTGCCCGGCCCAGGATCTCGAGGCGGACCCAGCCGTGGCGGCGAGGGAGCCCCCAGAGCCCAAGGAGGCGGAAAACATGAGCCGTTCAGGAACCCTGGTACTTACAGATGTTGGCATCCCTTAGAGGCGCATGTTTTGCTTCCGCTGGCCTCCGCCAGCCTTCCGCTGGCGAAAGCCAGTTTCATGTTACCTCCGCCGCCTTCCGCCGCCCTTCCGCCGAGGAAGAGATGTCAACTCCCTCCACCCCTCGCAGGCAAGACCCTTTCGGGAACGCCCCAAATGGAGGGCCTTCTTCCTTATCCTCCTCCCGTTCCTCGTCCGCCCCTGGGGTCCGAAGCCTTGAGCCGAGCACCAATGAGGTAGAACGCGCGGTGTTGCTGGCGGCTGCCCATGCAGTGCCCTCACACCTGGGGGCCTTCCGCCCATGAGAGAGGCGCAGCGTCTTGCGGCCCTCCTCCTCCTCCTCCTCCTCCTCCTCCTCCTCCTCCTCCTCCTCCTCCTCCTCCTCCTCTCCTCCTCCTCCTCCTCCTCCTCCTCCTCCTCCTCCTCCTCCGCCTCCTCCTCCTCCGCCTCCTCTCCTCCTCCTCCTCCTCCTCCTCCTCCTCCTCCCCCTCCTCCTCCTCCTCCTCCTCCTCTCCTCCTCCTCCTCCTCCTCCTCCGCCTCTTCCTCCTCCTCCTCCTCCTCCTCCTCCTCCTCCTCCTCCTCCCCTCCTCTCCTCCCTCCTCTCCTCCTCCTCCTCCGCCTCCTCCTCCTCCGCCTCCTCCTCCTCCTCCTCCTCCTCCTCCTCCTCCTCCTCCTCCTCCCCTACTCAGGCGGCGATGCAAGCGGTCCCGTTTTCATTCTACACCTGCACACGTGAGGTACCGACCTCCAGGACACGGCCTGGCGGCAACGCTGGCGGTTCTGTCTGCCATCCACACGTGAGCGGAGGAACGCGCATTACACATTCAAGTCACAGCCTAGTGACAAGGCAGGCGGGCCTGAACATATACCCCTTTATCGAGACATCAATCTCCAGGACACGGACTGGCGGCAATGCCGGCGGTCCCGCGCACTCCCTCCACACTCACACACCCGAGGTGCGGACCTCGAGGACACAGCCCGGCGGAAGTGCCGGCGGCCCTGCTCCACCTTCCCCGCAGAGGTACGGCCCAACAGCACCGCCACTGTGCAGCCACGAGGCATTATGGGGAGGTGCGATCTGGGCACGCGTTTGCTTGCGACGCTTCGCGCGATGGCTGCAGCCAGCGCGCCTCGCTGCACCGCCACCGTGCCTCCACGGGGCACCCTGGGGAGGTGCGAGCTGGCCTGCCCAGCTCACCTCTGTCCTGCCTAGGTGGCCCCGAGTCCGTCACAGCCGTTGCAGGCGCGGCAAGCCAACATTAACAAGAATCACCCCTGCTGTCGTCCGCCTTTCCCCCCTCCCTCCTCCCACTCCTTCCCCCCCTTCCTCCTCCCACGCACTTGCTCATGACACTTCGCGCGATGGCTGCGGCCAGCGCGCCTCACTGCACCGCCACAGTGCCTCCACGAGGCGCTCTGGGGAGGTGCGAGCTAAGATACCCAGCTCACCACTGGCCTGCTTAGGTGGCCCCGAGTCGGTCACAGCCGTTGCAGGCGAGGCAGCCATGACCGAACAATGCACGAGGTTGATGGAGCAAGCGCGCCAGAGGATGCAATAATCCAGGGCGCGCCGCACACCAAAGGATTCATGAATCATACGCGCGCCCGAGCGTGAAGCGGAGGTCTGGTCAAATTGCAAGCATGCACCACAACCTTCGCACGACTACGAAATGCGTGTCATTTCGTTGCGTCTTGCATCGTGGTGCGATATCTTCCCCAGGCTGAAGCCGAAGAGCTCCATGTCCGCCAGGGAGGAAGTTCGGGTGGTTGATCCGATCCAGCGTCACCTACCTGCTCATACCGCCACCAGTGGCAATAATTGACACGGGTGACCGTCCCGCCCCCCCCCTCCCTCGCATGGGATGGGCGGCCAGGAATCGCCAGCCCAGTCTGTTGGACCAGATGTGCTTGCCAGTGGGTGCAGCAACCCAACCAGTGGCCAGACACCGCTCGCGTCAGGCCATGATGCTGCATCAGCATCATAAAGATTGTTGTCATCGCCATCGTCACCAGCATCATCTGCATTATCATCATTTTCAGCATCAGCAGCATCATCATCACCATCACCATCACCATCACCATCTCCATCATCACCAGCATCAGCATCACCATCACCATTATCATCATCATCATCATCATCATCAGCAGCAGCAGCAGCAGCAGCATCATCATCATTGCCATAATCAGCAGCATCAGCATCATCAGCATCATCAGCATCGTCATCATCGTCGTCATCATCATCACCCATCATCAGAAGCAACATAATCATCCACATTGCCATCACCTTCAACATCATCATCAGCAGCATCATTAGAATCAACTGCATCATCATCAGCATCAGCATCATCATCAGCAGCAGCATCAACATCATCATCATGAACCATTATTCATTATTATCAGCGTCATCACCATCAGCAGCATCGTCATCACCAGCATCATCATCAGCATCATCATCACCAATCATCATCAGCATCATCATCATCATCAGCGGCAGCGGCGTTTCTCTCACCACCATCATCACCGTCATGATAATCATCAACATCCGAATCGCCATCACCATGATCCAAACCACCATCAGAATCACCATCATCGCCACTACCACCATCTCCATCATCACCATCATCGTCGTCACCATCATCATCACCACCAGCATCGTCCGCGTCATCTTCATCACCATCCACAAGAATATTCAAACATCCTCCTCCTCCTTCTCCTCCTCCTCTTCCTCCGTCTTTTCCTCCCCCTCCCCCTCTTGGTGACCCCCAAACCTACAGGCCACGGCAAATCTATGAGACTTCCTATTACTGATTTCCCGATTCTGACGCGCCTGGCGCCGCCGACATAACAGTTTCAACCGGCCATCTGGGCATGCGGCAACCCTTCGATTCGACCATCAGATCTCAGCGCTCAGTGAGGCCTCTGCATAAGCCCTCGATACCAAAAAAAAGATTGGCACCGCTGCCGTCCACGCCCCTTCCGAGCCTGCTGGCGTACTGATCTCTGGTCCCTAACCGAGGTTTGCCAGGCGTCGTCGACGTCAGTCGCAAGCGGATCCACGTGACCCCTCTAATGGGAGGAGGTGGAGGAGGAGGAGGAGGAGGAGGAGGAGGAGGGGGAGAAGGAGGAGTGAGGGGGGAGAGGAGGAGGAGGAGGGGGGGAGGAGGAGGAGGAGGAGGAGGAGGAGGAGAGGAGGAGGAGGAGGAGGAGGAGGAGGAGAGGAGGAGGGGAGGAGGAGGGGAGGAGGAGGAGAGGATGGAGGAGGAGGATCTTTGGCACTGCCCGACCGCCCCCGCGCACCGACCGCACGCCGGGCCGCGCCGCGGGCCCCGCAGCGGGCAGCCCACAGCGGGCGCCCCGCAGCAGGGCGCACGGCCGCGCGCGCGGCCGCCGCGCGCGCGCCGCGGTGGGCCGCGCAGAGGCCGGCGGCGGGCCGCGCGCGGGGCCGCCTCGCCAGGCAGCCACGCGGGAGCCGTGCGGCCGCAGCCGGTCGCGAGGAGGCCCCCCCGTTCGTCTCCCCCGAACCCCCTCCGAGGGGGTTCGGGGAAGGGAGCGGGGGGGATGGCAAAGGGTAGGGCAGAGAAGCAGCTCACGCAGCTGCTTTTCCCAGCGCCTTCCGGCGCCGGGGGGCGCCCACGCATCGAGGGACGGGCCCGGCGGCGGGGCCGAAGCCAGCTGCATGCAGCAGATGTCGCAACCTCCCCTTTCCCTACCCCCCCTTTTCGTTCGGCCCGAGGCGTGAGCCCAGATCTCCACGAAATGCTTCAGCTCGGCCTCTCGGGGGCCTCAGGCGACGCGATTTTGTTTGCAGTCCCGGTGAGTTTCCTCGACGTCGGGCCCTCGGGGGCCCCTTGGCAGGCCCAGGGCCCATCAGAAACGCAACTGGGGCGAAGACCTGGCCCCGGGGAGGGGGGGGGAATCGGGAGCTCTGCGGCCGCGGACGGAGAGAAGAGCAGGTCGGCGGGTGCCAGGAGCGCCTCGGGGGAGCACTGCAAGCGATCACGGCCACTGCAGTGAGGCCGGGCACGTCCACCTACAGGCGGACTTTAAGAGAAAAATTAGAAAGCCACCAAAAAAAGCAAGAGTGTGCAAAGAATACACCCAAAAATGTTCCCCTGACGATGTTGTGCCTATTTTTGAATACTCTTCCTGCAGAGGGGCATGCTCGACAGAGAAGGCCAGGAGAAAAATGAAGAGAACGTGCAGGCGGTGCCCAGGAGCGAAGGACGCGGGGGCGCCCTGCTCCGGGAGCTCGTCCTCGCGCCCGGCTCTGGCTGCAGTTCTGCCGCCCACCGATCTGGGCCAGCAGGGGGTTCACCCAAGTGTCAGGTCGGGCATGTCCTCCTGCAGGTCGGGCATGTTTTGTAAAGATAGCCAAGACATACCCACAAAGACTCAAACAGAAATGCTTGAAAAATTGCCCCCAGGCCATTGTTTGACCGCTCTTACATCTTCCCCCTGTAGAGGGACGTGCACGACTCAACCCAAGTGGGGGCTCAGAATCGGGGGCGGCCAAGAGGGGGGCGCCCAAGAGGGGGGGGCGCAAATCATGACCGGCGGCATGTGCGCGGCCCAGCGGGGGGGCCAGGGACGTAGTGAAATGAGAAGAGGCGCCATGAAATCTGAGGAAATGTCATGGCCCACGCCATGATACCCGCCCCCCCTAGTCATCACCCCCCTCTTTGCCGCCCCCGACAGAAGCCCCCGATAAAAATTGCCAAAACATACCCAAGAAGAGTCAAAAATACATGAAAAATCGCCCCCAGACTATTTTTGGACTGCTCTTGCATATTCCCCCTGTAGAGGGGCATGCCCGACTCAACCCAAGTGGGGGCTCAGCAGTGGCGAGCGGGCAGGAGGGGGGCGTCCAAGAGGGGGGGGCACAAATCATGACCGGCGGCATGTGCGGCCCACCGGGGGGGGGCCAGGGACGTAGTGAAATGAGAAGAGGCGCCATGAAATCTGAGGAAATGTCATGGCCCACGCCATGATACCCGCCCCTAGTCATCACCCCCCTCTTTGCAACCCCCGATTTATAAAAATTGCCGACGCATGCCAAAGAAGAGTAAAAACAAAAAAAACAAAATTTTGACGGCCCCGAGGGCTGGTAAGGGCCCCCGGAGGCCGAAAGTAACGAAAAGCCTCTCGTCATGATTTTCTCACTACACGAGGGGCCTCTGGGCCCCCAGAGGCCCCCAGAGGCCCCTGGCACCGGCCGCAGGGCCTTCGCAGTCCGATCGGCCGAGGCCTGGTTTTGCGGTGAGCCCGGGGTCCGCGCGTGGGCTGGACGCACGCTGCCTGCGGTGTCATCCCGCCCTGTGGTTCTGAGTCTGATGGGGGGCAGAGCTCACGAGGAGGAGGGGGGGATGGGGCAGGTATAGAGGCCTCCTACATGGGGTCGGAGTAGATGGGGTCGGAGGATCGCGCCGCATCGCCGATGCATCGGCGATGCATCGTCGATGCATCGTCGACGTCGGCGTGGAGAAAATCGGGCTCCGCATCAAGCCGCATCGTCGATGCATCGGCGATGCGGCGCGATCCTCCGACCCCATCTACTCCGACCCCATGTAGGAGGCCTAGAAGGTAGGAGAATCATCGACGAAGAAAATCAGGGGCAACGTTACGGCGGGGATGGGCTCAGGGGGGGCGCGGCGACACCCCATTGCCCATCTATCGCCGATTAGGGGCCCCATAGCCCACCCCGGGGGTCCGCGCGTGGCTGCCTGCTCGCGGGCCGGGCTTGGCCAGTCGCCCAGCCCCCGGGGCTCCCGCAGGCCGCGCGGGCGCGCGCCCGGAGCGGCAGCGCGCGCCTCCGCCACCTCCGGCGGGAGAGGGCGCCTGGTGCGGGAGGATCGTCCTCGTATCCGTCGTCGCCGCACGTCCTCGCGGGAGGGGGGAGGAGGAGGAGGAGGAGGAGGAGGAGGAGGAGGAGGAGGAGGAGGAGGAGGAGGAGGAGGAGGAGGACCAGTGTAAACCCAAGACTCATCAACGAAGTTGCAGGCAACAAAAAAAATCCCTGTTCCCTCTTCATAGGTCCCTACAAGGATTCATTGTCGCTGAAGGAAGCGCCCCAGTGGAAGACAACCGTCCGAAAAAACTGAGCCGTGCCAAAACACCCTTTCTTAGATTTCAACGCCTCGAATCAAGTTCCTGGGACTTCAACACCACGAACCAACGTGACTGCTGTGGCCTGGCAGTCCTACATCGTACCAAAACACCATTTGTGGGACATCAGCCATAAGAATCCTTGAAATTGCAGCAAATTCTTAAAACGAATGTGCCCGGCGCTACAGCGAGAGCCACATTTTGAAAACGGCCTGCCAACCATCCATGATGGATCTTGACAACTTTTGACACGACTGCACGCGGCGCTAAGGCGAGAGCCGCATTTGGAAAATCGAGCGCCCTCCATCCGTGAAACTGTTGCAAGCGTTAAAGCTTAAGGATCACAGATTGCGAAGAAACTCAGGCGAAACGTACGGCCTGCCCTACCGACACGCATCGGGGTGCAACAGGGCGTATAAGGAAAGTGGATGGAGGAGGAGAAGAAGAAGGGATGGAGGAGGAGGAGGAGGAGAGAACGAGAACCAACGTAAACCCAAGGCTCATCAACGATGCTGCAATAAACCCTCCCGGCAAGTTCCCTCTTCATAGGCTCCTATAAAATTCTTTCGCTGCGCAAAGAACCCCATCGGAAGACAACCGTTTGAAAATCGACAACCGTGCCAAAATACCACTCAAGGGCCTTCAACAACGCGAATCGACGCAACTGTTGCGACCGGACGATCCTGAATCGTGCCAGAACGCCGCTTCTGGAACGTCAACACCGCGAATCAACATTGCTCCAGGGACGTCCACAATAAGAACCATGAAAACTGCTGTAAACTGTTAAAACAGATTCGCGCCGAGCTAAAGTAGCGAAACCCTTGCCAGCTTTGAAGAGGAATGTGCGCGGCGCTCAGGCAAAAACCACATGTTGAAAACCGCCCGCCCTCCGTCCGTGAAATTCTTGCAAAACGGTGGAGGAGAGAAAGAGGGAAGGTGGAGGAGAGGAGCAGGAGGGAGGAGGAGGAGGAGGAGACGGAGGAGAAGCAGCAGGAGGATCAGCAGAAGGAGGAGGAGGAGGAGGAGGAGGAGGACGACGAGAGAGGAGGGATGAGAAAGGAGGGGGGGAAGGGAGGGCGGATGGGGGTGAGGGAGAAGGAAGACGAGCGAGAAGGGAGGAAAAGCAGGAGGAGGATGAGGAGGAGGAGGAGGAGGAGGAGGAGGAGGGCGGCGGCCATGACAACACGACAACGACGACGTGTCCCCAGCAGGCGCCTTTGCTGCCTTTCAGTCCTGGACATCCCCCCGTCCAGCGAAAGTCTGCTCAAAAACTTGGCCCCGAGACCCCCATCCCCTGGCACGGACCCGGGCTGCCGAAGGGCAACAAAAGAGGCGCTTGGAGGCACAGTGCAAGCATGGGAAAGAAGAGAATCCACGGATAGGGAAGGAGGAGGAGGAGGAGGAGGAGAAGAAGGAGAGGGAGGACGAGGAGGAAAAGGAGGAGGAAGAGTCATCCCCCCCCTCACTCATGGGCCTCTCCCGAGCCCCCCCTTCGAGCCTCCGGCATATCACACGGCGCTCTTCCTCGAGCACGCCCCGAGCGCCTCCTGGGGCACACCCAGCCCGCATGCCCAGGCCGGCGAAGTCGTGATGTTGGATGCCTGGAAATGGGCACCAACACCAAGACAGGGGGCTGCCTCCACAGGGGGAGATGATCCTAGATTTCGGTGTTGGCGGTGATATTTCGGTCACCTTAGAGGCCAGAATCTTACCACCATCACCGAGATCGGGACCTTCCTCCCTCGGTGGAGGAACACCGCTGATATTGGTATTGGTGTCAACCTCTAGGTCTGAGATGATGTTTCCACGTGGACCCCATCGATCGCCCCTTCTCCAGCCCGTGCCGTTGTGTAAAGGCGGAGCCCCAGAAGCTCAAAACTGCCACAAACAAACTCCCGCAGTGAGTCCCAGCAGGCTTGCAGGGTGCAGGTGGTCCAGCAAGCTCGCTCATCCGACCCTCCTGCTCCCTCGAGAAGGGGCTTACCCCTCCCTCTACCCCCTGGGTCTGGAACCAAGGTGGCTCCAAGCGCCCCCCCCAGGTAATTAGCCTAAGATAACCTCCAAGCTGGCTCAAGATAGCTCAGGACTGCTCAAGATAGCCTCCAACATGCCACCAACAGGCCCCAAGACGGCTCCAAGTTGCCTCAGAGCTTCCAAAAGACGTCCTCGAGAGCCGAAAATCACCCCAAAACCTGCAGGAAGTCCGCGTGCTTGGCCGTCTCGCCTTTTCGCTTCCGATGGGTTTCTGAGGGCTCCAGATAGCTACAAGATGGCCCAGTAGAGCAGCAGAGCCCCAAGTTAAGATGGCTACCAAGACGGCTATGAAGACGGCCTCAAGCGGGCCTCCAGGCTCCCCAAGGGCCCCATGAAGTGCAGATCGACACTGCAATCCATGCAACGGCCTGCAGTGACCCTGCAAACCGTACAAACGCCTTCCCCTTATCATCCTCCTCTTCGTCCTCCTCCACACACTCCTCCCCCCACTACTTCTCGTTATCATCTTCCCCCTTATCGCTCTCATCGTACTCTTCCTCCTCCTCCTCCTCCCCCTCCACCTTCTCCTCCTCCTCCTCCTCCTCCTCCTCCTCCTCCTCCTCCTCCTCCTCCTGGAGGCCCCAAAGAAGAAACAACGCATAAGCATAAACGTTCGAAGCTCCGCGCGGGTCTCTTGGATCGGCGCTGGACCCCCACCCCTCCTCGGCGCGCTCCGCATCGGCGATGCATCGGCGACGCTGGGATGGAGAAGATCGGGCCCCAGGTCGCGCCACACCACCGACGCATCGGCGACGCGGCGCAGCCCTCCGATCCCCCGGCTCCACCTGGGCGGCAGGGCGGCCTCGAGGCCCAGAGGCGCTCACATGCCCATGCCCGCTGCCCCGAGACCCCCGACGTCTTGTTCTTGCCCGCCACGTGGCCCCCCAGAGGTCTGGACCCCTTCCGCGAGACCGGCGTTGCATCCTGGGCCATTTCGTTGACGGTCCCCAGGGCCAGTGAGGGCCCCGGAGAGCCGAAACTGACCAACCACCGAGAGGACGTGGTCTTCGGGTCATGCGTCGGCTCCCTGGCGGCCATCCGGGACAATCGAGGCACCCCCAGAACGCCCTCGGCGAGGCGCAGCTGCTAGAAGGCACTCCAAGGCCAGAAAACCGCCGAGAACCGACGAAAACATCCGAAAACCGCCGCCCGCCAGCTGCTAGAAAGCACCCCGAGGCCGCAAAACCGCCGAGAAGCGACGAAAACGCCCGAAACATCCACCCGTCCGCGCTCACTTAGGCGCTGCGTAGTGGGATGGACGGTAAACGGGGAGGCGAAGTGTAAACCTCTCGTGGCCATAGTGGGCTCCAGGGGGCCCCTTCTAGGGTCCATAAGGTGCACAAAAGGTGCATGCACCTTTCTTCACGCCCCTATTATCGTTGGGAACTGCTGCTTTGCGTATCGCGGCGGCGGCCTCGGCGACACGACATACCTTGCAAGCGGATAGCGTGTTGCTCCGCTCCGCGGGGCGGGAGGCTCGGAAAAGCTCAGCACCCTAACGCATGGGGACTGGGAAGTGGATAGCGCGTCGCGCCACGGCGTGGTGGGCCAGAACCGGCAGCGCGGCACGCTAAGCCAAAGTTCTTGACCGCCAATACTCAAAGTCAAAGATCAACAAAAAACGAAGAACGGGCGCACGCGCCAGTAGGAACTGGCCTGGACGCTGCAACAAAACAGCGCCTGCTCTACACAAAACGAGCAACAAAGTAACAGCCCCATCTCGTAAAGACACCCGAAGGCCTGATACACCCTCCTCCATTCTCCACCCCCTCCTCCTCCTCCTCCTCCTCCTCCTCCTCCTCCTCCTCCTCCTCCCCCTCCTCCTCCTCCTCCTCCTCCTCCTCCTCCTCCTCCTCGTCCCCCTCCCTCCTCCTCCCCTCCTCCTCCTCCTCCTCCTCCTCCTTTCTCCTCCTCTCCCCCTCCTCTCCTCCTCCTCCTCCCTCCTCCTCCTCCTCCCTCCTCCTCCCTCCTCCTCCTCCTGCCGCTTCGCTCCTTTGACTCCCCCTCCCTCCTCCTCCCCCCCTCCTCCCCCTCCTCCGCCCCCTCCTCATCCTCCCCCTCCCTCCTCCTCCTCCTACTTCCACTTCCTCCTCCTCCTCCTCCCCCATCCTCCTCCTCCTCCTCCGCCTCCTCCTCCTCCTCCTCTCCTCCTCCTCCTCCTCCTCCTCCTCCTCCTCCTCCTCCTCCTCCTCCTCCTCCTCCTCCTCCTCCTCCTCCTCCTCCGTCCTCCTCCTCCTCCTCCTCCTCCTCCTCCTCCTCCTCCTCCTCCTCCTCCTCCTCCTCCTCCTCCTCCTCCTCCTCCCGGCCCCGCGGCCGCCTGACGCGTGGCGCCCAGGGGGCGGCCAGCCAGAGAGCTGGCCCATCACGCGGGCCGGCCGCTCCGGGCAGCGTCCTGCCGCTCTCTGGCCGCCTGCCTCGGGGACACGCCGCCGTCTGCGGCGCCAACGCCGCCAGCTCCGCCGAAGACGGCCCAGATCCAGACATGATCAAAAAATCAGGACGGGAGGAGGGGGAGGAGGAGGGGGAGGAGCAGGGGGAGGAGGAGAAGGAGGAGGAGGAGGAGGAGGAGGCGGAGGAGGAGGAGGAGGAGAGGAGAGAGGAGGAGGAGGAGAGGAAGGAGGAGGAGGAGGAGGAGGAGGAGAGGAGGAGAGAGGAGGAGGAGGAGGAGGAGGAGGAGGAGGAGGAGGAGGAGGAGGAGAAGAGAAGAAGAAGAAGGAGGAGGAGGAGGAGGAGGAGGATGGGGGGCAGGAGGAGTAGGAGAGAGGAGGAGGAGAAAAAGGAGAAGGAGGAGGAGGAGAGGAAGGAGGAGGAGGAGGAGGAGGAGGAGGGGGAGGAGGAAGAGAACGAGGAGGAGGAGGAAAAGGAGGAGGAGGAGGAGGAGGAGAAGGAGGAGGAGGAGGCGGAGAAGGGGGAGGAGGAGGAGAAGGAGGAGGAGGACGAGGAGGGGCAGGAGGAGGAGGAGGAGCATGGGGCTCGCTCGTTAAAAAATCAGAGCGGGAGATGTTCGGCAATTTTCGGCCTCGGGGGGCCCTGCCCGGGCCTTGGGACCGTCAAAAATGATTCAGGATGAAAAAATCGGTCCCGGGGAAAGGTCGGGACATCCAGGGACTCCGCGTTGAAAAAATCAGGACGTCGCCCGTCTGAGGACGTCCAAACGCACTGGGAACCACGACGACGACGACGACAACGCCGTCGACGGCGCCGCCGACGCTGACGACGCCAACAGTAGAGGGGCAAAAGCTGCATAAACAGAAGCTTTGGGAGGTCCTCGCGGATCTCCTGGGTCGGCGCTGGACACCCCCCCCGTCCGCGCGCCATGGGCGGGGCCAGAGGCGCCGACCCGAAAAATCCGCGCGGAGCTCCGAAAGTTGATGTTCTTCTTTGAGACAGCGCCGACGGCTCCGCCGAAGACGGCCAAGATATCCAACGCAATGGGAAAACCAAGGCGGAAGTTCACCGCCTCTCTCGACCTCTGGGAGCCCTCGCCGCGCCCCAGGACCGCCAAAGAACGGCTCGGGACGAAAAACCCGCCCCGGAAAGAAGGTCGAGACTTCCAGGGACCCCGTGAGGAAAAAACAAACCAAGACATCGGATCCCTGGGGACGGTGCCGACGACTTCGCCGACGACGGCCAAGACGACAAAGACGACAAAGACGACAAAGGTTGCGCCGACGGCCGTCGCCGTCATCGCTGCCAGCGGCGCCAGCGCCGGCGGGAGTCGGCGGCGTGGTCGCCGTCGTCGTCGTCGTCGGTATCGTCGTCGGTGCTGTGGTCGGCATCGTTGTTGGCAGCGTCGGCAAAATTCATCGTGGGCGTCGTCGTCGTCGGCGGCGTCGTCGTTGGCGTCATCGGCGTCGTCGTGGTCGTCTTCGTCGTCGTCGTATTCCTCCTCCTCCTCCTCCCCAACATCCTCCTTCATCTCCTCCTCCCCCGCTCCTCCTTCTCCTCTTCCTCCTCCTCCTCCTCCTCCTCCTCCTCCTCCTCCTCCTCACCCTCATCCTGCGTCGCGAAAAAAGCACGACGGGTGTGTTTCGCCGATTTTGGCCCTGGGACCGTTTTCGGACCCCAGGCAATCAGAAAATGTGCCGAGACACAAAAACAGATACGCCCGAGGATGGAGCCGATATCTCCAACTGCCCGCGTCGCCAAAACAAAAAACAAGCGTCTCCAGGGGTAGGAGATGTGAGGAGGAGGAGGAGGAGGACGACGACGACGACAAGGAGGACAAGCGGATTTGGGGGACTGCAGCGCGTTCTGCCTGGTTGATGGGGTTCACATGTGGGCTTGGGGGCGGCCGAAGAGCTTCCAGTGTGCTAAAGGGGTGATGAAGATGGAGGAGGCGCAGGAGGACCAGTGTAAACCCAAGAGAATTAATTATCGATGTTACAATAAACCCTTCCTCTAAGCTTCCTCTTCATAGCCCCTAGAATAGTCTATTCACAGTGAGGGGAATGCCCCATTGGAAGACAACCGTCTGAGATTCCTCAATCGTTCAGAAACACCAATCCTGGGACTTCAACGCCGCAAGTCAGCGTGACTGTTGCATCCTGACCGTGCGAAACCGTACCAAAAAACAAGTCCTGCGACTTCAACACCGCCGTGAATCAACGTGGCTGTTGCATCCTGACAACCCTAACTCAAGCCAGAACACAGTTCGTGGGACTTCGACCATACGAACCCTTGAAGTTGTTCCAAGTATTCGAAAAACAAAAAAAAGCGGCACGAAAGCGAGAGCCACATTGTGACAAGGAAACGCGCTCCATCGTTGAAACTGTTGCACACGTTTGAAACAAATGTGCGCGGCTCTATGGCGGGAGCCACATTTTGAAAACGGCCCGCCGTTCATTCTTGAAACTGTCACGAGCCGTTAAGGCACATGTGCGCGGCGCTAAGGCGAGAACCACAGTTTGAAAGCCGACCGCCCTGCACCCGTGAAACTGCTCCAAACTTCAAGCTTCGGAATCAGAAATGGTGAGGAATTCTCAGGCGAAACGCCCAGCCTGCCCTACCGACACGTCTGGCGGTGCGACAGGGAGGGGTCATTTATAAGAAAAATGGAGGAGGAGGAGGAGGAGGAGGAGGGGGAGGAGAAGGAGGAGGAGGAGGAGGAGGAGGAGGAGAAGGAGGAGGAGGAGGAGGAGGGGCACTGGCCATGAAGAGAATGTCCGAGAGGTCAGACCTAGTAAAAGCAAAAGCAGCAGGGCCATGGAGTATGACCGTTTTGAAAATTCGTCCATGGGGCTGCACACAGATTTCAGCCGACGACAGGCCCCGCGCCCAACAAACTGCCAAGGCGGAAAGAGAAGGAGGAAGAGGAGGAGCCCGAGAGGAAAACTCCAGGCCTGGACGCGCTGCCGGGCAGCTCTCCAGGCACAAAACGTGCACGGTGTGATCACTGTCGCTGATTGCACCAGCGACACAGCAGAGCGTATCACATTTGTGTTCGCCGAAGCTCGGCAGAGGAGGAGGATCGAGCACAAGCGAGCATGGATTATGGATCCGCGGATCTGGCGGCGCCAGATCTACGGATCGGGAAAGGTACTCTCAAAACATTAGCGCAATGCCGCCTGATTTGACGACGGAGCGCGACGCTTCTATACGGAAACGGAATCCGTCGCTAATCCACGCGCCTTAATCCATGTTTTTGTTTCCTGGAGAGGAGGATGGAAAGAACAAGGACAACGAGGAGAATAAGGAGGAGACAAGGAGGAGGAGGAGGAGGAGGAGGAGGAGGAGAAGGGCTCCTGGCTCAGGAGGCCCGTCCAGGAGACAGGACTGGAATTACGCTGTAGCGCGAGGCTTGAACGAACAAAAATCAAGCTCGGGGCGTGGACGCGGGAAGGAGGAGGAGGGCTCGTGGCTCAGGAGGCCCCTCTATGAGCCAGGAATGGGATTCCGCTGCAGCACAAGGCTTGAACGAGCAGAATTGACCTCAAAGTTTTGCTAGGTCAACCTGCAAGGAGCCCACGTTTGTTTGAAACCACATAACGCGCGTTATGTGTCTGGGCGGGTAGATGGGTTCGGTGGCACATAACATGACACAGTCGTGCCCGGCCCCTCGAATGATTTGTCTGAGAGCAACGTTCCCGCTGTTGCTCCTGGTGCTGGTGTAGCGAAATGGCCTTGCAGCTGCGATCGCAACGTGGCGCGTTGACACCGCAATGCTCGCTCTCACCACGCGCGCGGATGCAGCAACCTACGCGTACACCACATCGCATGTGTACATCACAACAACGGAGTGCATGACAGCGCCCCTGTGCACCGCAGCGCCTGTGTACACAACTGGCACCCTTGTGCCTGTGTGCGCCGCCAGCATGTACATCACAGTGCCAGCGTACACCACAAAGCCCGCGTACACCTCCAGGTGCCCGACGGTGTCATACTTCAACAAAACATGGCCAGCGCGAACGTATCAAATTCAATATGCAAGTTGTTTGTGATTATTGTTTTTTTTTCTGGCCGCAGGCACGGCCCCTATCCCCGTTGCCTGCGCGCACAAGAGTACCAACCTATACCACAATGCAAGACACCACCACGCCTGTGTGCATCTTAACTGCCGCCGCAGCCCGCGTGTGCGCTATGCACACCGAGCTGCTTGTCTCTTCCAATGTGAGTGCGCCACCGCGCCGGCGCGGGTGCCACAACCGCCTGTGCGCGCCACGCGCCTCTACATACCACAAGCACATGCCCGCGCACACTGTAAACACGTTGCGCGCACTGCGAACAGCATGCCTGTGCCCGAAGAAACAGGCGCTGCTGCAACGGGGGTCGGTGGGGCGGCGGGCGTTATGTCATCTACTGGGTGGGCGGGTGGGTTGGAGGCCACATAACGCGCGTTACGTGTTCGAGTCAAAAAACTGTGGCTCAAGGGAAAGAGGAGAAGGAAGCGGAGAAGGGTTGGAGGCAGCCAAGGGTCTGGGCTGGGTGGGCCCCGAACACGTTGGTCAAGACTGGCGCAACAGGGCAACTCCGCTCAAATCGGTCCCCGGACGTCTCCCGAGGTCCAACTGGTGCGGTCCCAGACATGCGACATCCTGATTCTTGCCCATACCAGATCCCTGGAAGTCCCGACCCTTTCTCCAGGACAAATTTTTCATCCCGAGTCGTTTTTAGACGGCCCCGAGGCCCGGCGAGGGCCCCCCGAGGCCGAAATTGGCCAAAAACCTAGCGCCTGTTTTTTTTACAACGCGGTCATGTCTGGGGCTGTTTGGCCGGAACACGTGCTGGGCCACCTCAGACCCCCACCCGGCTCCATGGGAAGGCTGCCTCCTTCGCCCTCCTGCCCCCCGCCGCCGCCTGGCCGCGTCCTCCTTCGCCCGCCTCTCGGCGGGCGTGTCCTGCAGGAACGAGTGCTGCAGGGCGTCGTCGGGCCGTATCCGGTTCGCCGGGTCCTCGCGGGGGAGGGGTCAGATACGTACGATGTGATGAGCTTCCGGTCCTGGCGGTTTTCCTCGATTTCAGCCATCCGACGGTGTTTCTTCGATCTCGGCCGTCAAGGAACCTTTGCGAGACCCCGGGCCATCAAGAACGGGTCCAGGATGAAAATTATCCTGACGAAGGACCCAACCATATGCAGTTGTGGGTACCGCAATTGTGAATATCTTCTTCGGTGAAGCTCCCAATGGGGCCACGAAGCGCTGCACTGGGGGCGGGAACGCATGCGGGCGGTAGCACTGGGGCCGTCGGTGGAGCTCCCTATGGGGCCACGAAGCGCTGTACTGGGTGGATGAAAATGCCACATTCGGTGTGTGGGATGCATGCGGACGGTCGCACTGGGGGCGTGAAAATGCCAAATTGGGCTTCCTGGGACGCATGCGGACGGTCCCACTGGGGGCTTCGGTGGAGCTCCCTATGGGGCCACGAAACGCTGTAGTGGGTGGGCGAAAATGCCAAATTGCGTGTGCGGGACGCATGCGGACGGCCCCACTGGGGGCTTCAGTGGAGCTCCCTATGCGGCCACGAAACGCTGTAGTGGGTGGGTGAAAATGCAAAATTGGGTGTGTGGGACGCATGTGGGCGGTCCCACTGGGGGCTTCGGTGGAGCTCGCTATTGGGGCCACGAAACGCTGTACTGGGTGGATGGAAATGTAAAATTGCGTGTACGGGGCGCATGCGCGCGGTCTCACTGGGGGCTTCGGTGGAGCTCCCTATGGGGCCACGAAGCGCTGTACTGGGTGGACGAAAATGCCAAATGAGGCGCGCGGGACGCATGCGGACGGTCCCACTGGCCACAAAAAGCTGCACTGGGTATGGCTGACGCATGTGGCCACCGCTACTGGGGTGGCGGACGCATGTGGTACCCCCACTGGGGCCTGCGTGGAGCTCCCTATGGGGCCACGAAACGCTGTACTGGGTGTGGCGGACGCATGTGGTACCCCCACTGGGGTCTTAGGTGGAGCTCCCCATGGAGCCACGAAACGCTGTACTGGGTATGGCGGACGCATGTGGTACCCCCCTGGGGCCTTACGTGGGGCTCCCCATGGGGCCACGAAACGATGTACAGGGTGTTGCGGACGCATGTGGCCACCCCACACTGGGGCCTTACGTGGAGCTCCCTATGGGGCACGAAACGCTGTACTGGGTGTGGCGGACGCATGTGGTACCCCCACTTGAGGGGGGGGCACGGGAGGAGGAGACGCGGGGACCGTCAAAAAGAGGACCCAACACCACAGGATGGTTGGGAAAAACTAGTCCCAGGAAAGGGGTCACGATCTCCAGGGCCGCGGATTGGAAAAGACATATCGGCGGGTGCCAGGGGGGGTGGGCAGGCCTTGCTCCCCTCGGTCAAAGGGAGCCAAACTCGACCCTCGTCCCCCCCCCTTCTCGACATCCTCATCACCACCACCATCATCAGCATCAGCATTAGCATCATCAGCATTTTGAGCAGCACCATCATCATCATCATCATCATCACCATCATCATCAGCAGCATCATCATCAGCATCATCGTAAACATAATCAGCATCAACATCATCATCATTATCATCATCATCATCATCATCATCATCATCATCATCATCATCATCATCATCATCAGCATCAGCATCAGCATCATCATCATCATCATCATCATCATCATCATCATCATCATCATCATCATCATCATCAGCATCATCATCATCATCATCATCACATCATCATCATCATCCAGCATACATCAGCATCATCATCATCATCATCAGCATCATCATCAGCATCATCATCATCATCAGCATCATCATCATCATCATCATCATCATCATCAACAGCATCAGCATCATCACATCATCATCATCATCATCAGCATCATCATCATCATCATCATCATCATCAGCATCATCATCATCATCATCACATCATCATCATCATCATCATCATCATCATCATCTCATCATCATCATCATCATCATCATCATCATCATCATCCATGTCATCATCATCAGCATCATCATCATCATCATCATCATCATCATCATCATCATCATCATCATACATGACATCATTGCCAGCATCATCATCAGCATGGTCGGAATCGCAAGCCGCTTCATCATCATAATCAGAAAGTCAACCCACTTCGCGACTTGAACACGGTCAGCATGATCAGTACAAGCGTCTTTATAGTCATCCGCATCACCAGCAGAAGCATCCGAAACATGATAAATATCGCTATGTTTATCTTCACCCAGTGCCAGCATAATCATAATCAACCTCATCATCATGATCATCATCAGCAGCACCACCACCACCAGCACCAGCAGCATCAACATCATCAACATCATCAGCATCATAATCATTACCATTACCATCACCATGCGCAAGCATCATCAACAACAGCTCATCATCAGCAGCAGCAGCATCATCATCATAATCATCAACATCGTCGTCGTCATCGTCGTCGCCACCAGCATCATCAGCAGCAGCATCAACATCAGCATCATCATCAGCAGCATCATCAGCTCAGCTTCATCTTCATTGTCATCATCAACAGCATCGTCATCCTAATCAGCATCATCATTAGCATCATCATCGTCATCATCAGCATCATCAGAATCATCATCATCGCCATCGTCATCGTCATCGTCATCATGATCGTCATCAGCAGCAGCAGCACCATGATGACAATCATTAATAGAATTATCCTGGCGAAGGACCCAACCATATGCAGTTGTGGGTACCGCAATGTGTGCATATCTTTTTCGGTGAAGCTTCCTATGGGGCCACGAGGCGCTGCACTGGGCGGGGGGGAACGCATGCGGGCGGTAGCACTGGGGCCATCGGTGGAGCTCCCTATGGGGCCACGAAACGCTGTACTGGGTGGGTGAAAATGCCAAATTGCGCGTGCGGGACGCATGCGCACGGTTCGGTGGAGCTCCCTATGGGGCCACGAAACGCTGTACTGGGTGGGTGAAAATGCCAACTTGGGCTTCCGGGACGCATGCGGACGGTCCCACCAGGGGCTTCGGTGGAGCTCCCTATGGGGCCACGAAACGCTGTACTGGGTGGGTGAGTGAAAATGCCAAATTGGGTGTCCCGGACGCATGCGGACGGTCCCACTGGGGGCTTCGGTGGAGCCCCAAATGGGGCCACGAAACGCTATATTGGGTTGGTGAAAATGCCAATTTGGGCTTTCGGGACGCATGCGGACGGTCCCACTAGGGGCTTCGGTGGAGCTCCCCATGGGGGCCACGAAACGCTGTACTGGGTGGCTGAAACTGCCACATTGGGTGTGGCGGACGCATGTGGCCACCCCCCACTGGGGCCTTAGGTGGTTCTCCCTATGGGGACACGAACGCTGTACTGGGTGTGGCGGACGCATGTGGTACCCCCACTGGGGCCTGAGGTGGAGCTCCCCACGGGGCCACGAAACGCCGTACTGGGTGTGGCGGATGCATGTGGTACCCCCCCCCCCCTGGGGTCTTAGGTGGAGCTCCCCATGGGGCCACGAAACGCCGTACTGGGAGTGGCGGACGCATGTGGTACCACCCCCCATGGGGTCTTAGGTGGAGCTCCCCATGGGGCCACGAAACGCCGTACTGGGTGTGGCGGACGCATGTGGTACCCCCCTGGGGACTTAGGTGGAGCTCCCTATGGGGCCACGAAACGCCGTACTGGGTGTGGCGGACGCATGTGGTACCCCCCCCCCTGGGGCCTTTGGTGGAGCCCCCATATGGGGCCACGAAACGCCGTACTGGGTGTGGCGGGCGCATGTGGTACCCCCCTCCCCTGGGGCCTTAAGTGGAGCTCCCAATGGGGCCTCGAAACGCCGTAACTGGGTGTGGCGGACGCATGTGGCCACCCCACACTGGGGCCTTACGCGGAGCTCCCTATGGGGCCACGCAAAACGCTGTACTGGGAGGGTGAAACGCATGGAGGAGGGAGGAGGGGGAGGAGGGAGGAGGGGGAGGAGGAGGAGGAGGAGGGGATGGAGGAGGAGGAGGAGGGAGGAGGAGGAGGAGGAGGAAGGAGGAGAAGAGGGAGGAGTGAGTGGTGAGTGAGTGAGTGAGTGAGTGAGTGAGTGGGTGGGACGCGGGGCGCTGCCCCTGCAAAACGAAGACCCAACACCACAGGATGGTTGGGAATAATCATCATAGTCGTCATGAGCTCATCAGAATCATCAGAATGACCATCATGTCATAATGAGAATAGGATTACCCTCCTCCTCGCCCCCACCCCCCCCCCACCCCTCGCCGCCCCCCCCCCGCCCCGCCCCCCCATCCTCCTCCTCCAAGCCCGTTCGCATCCATCCTCCATGTCATCTCCTCCTTCCCCCCCTTCCTCATCCACCCTCATCCATCCTCGTCGATCCTCCTCCTCATCCTCCTCCTCTTGCTCCACAGTCCTCCATCACATCACAGTCCTCATCCACCACCTTCCTTCTCTATGGCTTTTCCTACGTGTTGGTACGGCGGACCGAGCGCTCCGCCTGAGACTCCATCACCTTTCATGAGCCTGAAGCACGAGTTTTGCAACAGCTTCAAAGATTGAGGACGGGCCGTTTTCAGAATGAGGCTGTCGCGGTAGCGCCGCGCACATTCGTCCTCAAAGTTCCCCAGAGCTGCAGGACTTGAGGGCGGGCCATTTTCAAAGTGTGGCTCTCGCCTCAGCGCCGCGCACACTCGTCCTCTAAAAGCTTGAACGAGCTGCACGCATGGAGGGCGGCTCCTTGTCAAAATGTGGCTCTCGCCGTGGCGCCGCGCAATCTCGCCTGGAGAGTCTGCAAGAGCTTCACATTGGAGGGCGGCTCCATTTCAAGATGTGGCTCTCGCATCAGCGCCGCGAACATTCGTCTTAGAATCTTAGAAGTTTGCATCAGATTCAACGGTGCTGCGCGGTTCCTTGTCAAAATGCGGCTCTCGCCTCAGCGCCGCGCACCTTCGTGTTGAAAGGTCGCAACAGATTCAAAGATTCGTATGCTGGAAGCCCCCGTAACGGCGTCATGGCACAAATTAGGGTTGCCAGCACGCTACAATAACGTTGATTCGCGGTGCTGGAGCCCCGGAGAGGTTTCCACTGGTCCTCCTCCTCCTCCTCATCATCCTACTCTTCCTCCACCGTCCTCCATCACATCACCGTCCTCCTCCACCACCTTCATCATCCTCTACCGCCTACGCCTCGCGAAGGGGGGCATCCAAAAAGGCCCGCCGCCTGAACGCGACCATGTTGTCTCTAGCGCGAGGGAGGTCCAGTGCAGTCATCTTCTCCAGCAGGTCCGCGAACTGGACGGCCCTCTTGCAGTATGCCTAGGACGAAGGAAGAGGATAAGGAGGAAAAGGACGAGGAAACCGTGGAGGGGGAGGAGGATGGAGAGTGAGTGGATGAGGAGGAGGAGAGGGTGAGGATGAGGACGTGGACGGACGAGGGGAAAGGGAGAACGAGCAGGTGGAGGGGGGCAACGACGACAATGACGACGACGACGACGACGACGACGACGACGACGACAACGACGACGGGCAGGGAGAGGAGGGAATGAGTGAGAAAATGAGGATACAGCGGCTGTGAAGGAGGATGCGACGACGATGGCGGCGACGAAAAACAGGGGGGGAGGCGAGAAGGGTAGGAACAATGAGGAAATTGACGACCAAGAGCCTGGGGAAAGGAATGGAGAGGACGAGAAGGATGGAGAAGGGGGCAGGGCTCGGGAACCCCTACACCATCAGCACCCCGGCAGACGCCAAAGAACCTTCGAGTGCCGAACACAACTTCGGTCATCAATCCTCATCATCCACCCCTCCACCCATCTCTGCAACCACTGGGGCATAGAGAGGAGGAGGAGAAGGAGGAGGAGAAGGAGGAGGATAATTCAGGAAATTCAGCGACGAGGAGGAGGAGGAGGAGCAGGAGGAGGACGAGGAGGAGGAGGAGGAGGAGGAGGAGGAGGAAGAGGAGGAGGAGCAGGAGCAGGAGCAGGAGAAGGAGGCGGAGGATCAGGAGGAGGAGGAGGAGGAACAGCAGGAGGAGCAGAAAGAGGAGGAGGACGAGGAGTCCGCACATCAGCTCGAAGAAGAAAGAATCAGAGGAGGAGAAGAAGGATCTGTAGCGCGAGTCCTCGCCGAAAGAGCCGCCACCTGGTCACAGGCCTCGGGAGGAGGCGGAGAGGAGGAGGGTCCCTGGCTATACCCTACCCCGCCCCCCCTGAGGGATCCCCTCTCGGTCATGCGTGTCTCCATTATGCTACCTCTTACAGAGTGGCTGGCCTCATCATCCGCACCCCCCACCCCTGGGGCGACCGCGCTTGAGGGGGAGGAGGAGGAGGAAGAGGAGGAGGAGGAGGAGGAGGAGGAGGAGGAGGATAAGAAGAAAAGCATCCCTGATCGGATCAGTGCCAAAAGCGGCAGGCGCCAGGAGGAGAGGCGCGCCTGGTCCTCCGGGGCCTCGGACTGCTGCTTCTCCTTCCCCACCCTCTCCAGGACGAGATCCTTCAGGCTCCTGGTGGCGTTCAGGTCAGTGACGACCTTCACCACCTGCGGGGTGCCGCTGGAGGGGGAGGACGAGGAGAAAAAGGAGGAGGAGGAGGCGGAGGAGGAAGAGGAGGGGGGAGAGGGGGAGGAGGTGGAGGGCAAGTAGGAGGAGAAAGAGAAAGAGACAGAGGAGGGGGAAGGGGGGGGAGAAGGGGGGAGGGAAAGAAGGGAGAAACAGGGGGAGCAGAAGCAAAAGGCGGAGGAGGAGCGAGCGACGACGACGTCGAGGTTCACGAAGAGACTGAGTGCGAGGAGGAGAGGAAGGGCAAAGAGAGGAGGAGGAGGAGGAGGAGGAGGAGGAGGAGGACTAGGAGGAGGAGGAGGAGGAGGACCAGGAGGAGGAGTAGGAGGAGGAGGAGGAGGACTAGGAGGACGACTAGGAGGAGGAGGGAGAGGCGGAGAAGCAGGAAGAGCAGGAGGACCAAGAGGACGAGGAGAACGAGAGTGCCACCTGCTGGCCGCTGGCAGGATCGTCCACGAGGTGCTTGAAGTCCAGCTCGTCTGAGAAATGGTTCTTCCAGACTGCGCCCTTCTTGATCACCTTCCCGCCGGGCTGGTCCCGCCAGGGGAGGACGAGGAGGGAGGGAGGAGGAGGAGAAGGGGAAGAAAGGGAGAGGAGAGGGAGGAGGAGGAGGAGGAGGAGGAGGAGGAGCAGCAGCAGCAGCAGCAGGAGGTAGAAGGGAGGAGAAGGACGAGGAGGAGAAGGAGGAGGAGGAGGAGAAGGAGGAGGAGGAGGAGGAGACGGAGTCGCCGCAACGACCAGCAGCGGCAGAAGGGGCTAGAGGGGGAGGGAGGAGGGGTGTAAGGAAGGGGGGCAGTCTGACGTTTCTCATCCTCGGCCCCCCAGGGGGGGACACTCGTCGCCACGGCCGGAGTCGTCTCGAAATCTGGGCTCAGAACGCACCCCAGGAAAGGTCAGAGGGCCGACTCACAAGGTGCGGGGTCTTGGAGGGGGGTCCGGGAACAACCGGAAGTGCTCTCCAGAAGGGGACAAGGCAGCGCATCGAACAGGCGAGCAGCACATACATGAGCAGCATGTATTCTCGGCGTCAGCCTTGTTATCCTTCTTTCCTCTTGCCTTTGCAGCGTGATTATTCCCCTTCTCCTCCTCCTCCTCCTCCTCCTCCTCCTCCTCCTCCTCCTCCTCAGCTGCCATCTGGGACCAAGAGACTGTCAGGGCAGCATGCAAACCCACCATGAGTTTCCATAGCTTGTGAATTGATAGAGGTGGTGCGGCGGCCCGCGTGACAGGACATGAATGTCGCGACATCTCAATGGCCTAAACTGGCAAAGAGAAGAAGTTCAGCGTGCCGCCCACAAGTGTGACCCAAAAACTTCTCAATGCCGCCCGACGACCAGCCAGCTGCGCAGACTCCGCGCCCGTTGCACGCAGGCCAGGAGATCGCAACAGGCGTCACTGAGCATTCTTCACCGACTCCTACTGGAGCCACCACCAGGCCTCGGCACCCAAGACAAGGAGAAGGCGGTGTGGCACCAGGAGAAGGAGCCTAAGGAGGAGGGGGCGACCCACGAGGAGCAGAAGAGCTTCGTTAACCAGAGGGAGAAGCTGAGCGCGAAGAGCACGACGGCGCACGAGAGGAAACATAAATGCTACGTAGAGGGTAGCTTCGCGGAAGAGGACGAGGAGCTGGACACCAAGGACACCGCGGCCCACGAGGAACAGCAGAGCTTCATAGACCATGGGAAGACGCTGGGCAACAAGGACTCCGAGACTCGCGGGGAAGAGACGCTGGGCGCCAAGGACATCACCGCGCACGAGAAGTGCAAGGCAGGGATTTATCCATATCCACCGCCTGGGAACCGACGACCTGATGCCCCAGCGGGCGGTGGATATGGATATAGTCTAGCCCCCGGAGGCCCGAATCTATGCATATCCACCGCCTGTGGAGGACCGCGAAGATCGATCCCCCAGGCGGTGGTTATGGACAGGTCCCCACCTCGGAAGAAGCAGCAGAAACTCCCCCGACCAGGACGGAGGCGCTGGGCATCCATGAAGGGAAACTGGGACACACAAATAAACAAGTGGCACGCGTGCCATGGCTCTTGCACAAAAATGAAGGGGGAGGAGGAGGAGGTGGAGGAGGAGGAGGAGGGGGGAAGAGGGGGCAAGACATCGCCCCTCGGGGCCCGGCAACGGGGCCCAAATCCCAGGTGGGGAGAGGGGAGGGAGGTGGCGTGCGTCGCGACGCGGAATAAAGTGCTCGGAGCGGAGGGGGCACGGGGCGGAGGTCCCACTGGGGCACTGGGGGCGCGGAGAGGAGGGGGGGGAGGTGGTGTGCGTCGCGACGCGGAGTAACATGGTCGGGGCGGAGGGGGCACTGGGCGGGGCTTGGGGCAGAGGGCCACGGGGCGGGGGTCCAACTGGGGCGCTGGGGAAGGGGGGGAAGGTGGCGTGCGTCGCGACGCGGAATAAAATTGTCGGGGCGGAGGGGGCACGGGGCGGAGCCCCCACTGGGGCGCTGGGGACGCGGGGAGGGAAGTGGGGGAGGTGGTGTGCGTCGCAACGCGGGATAAAGCGTTCGTGGCGGAGGGGGCAGTGGGCGTGGCCCCCGCTGGGGCGCTGGGGACGCGGGGGGGGCTCGGGGCAGAGAGCCACGGCGCGGGGGTCCCACTCTGGCGCTGGGGACGCGGGGGGAGGGGGGGTGTGCGACGCAACGCGGGATAAAGCGTTCGTGGCGGAGGGGGCAGTGGGCGGGGCCCCCGCTGGGGCGCTGGGGACGCGGGGAGGCTCGGGGCAGAGAGCCACGGCGCGGGGGTCCCACTCTGGCGCTGGGGACGCGGGACGGGGGGGTGATGTGCGACGAGGAATACGTTCGTGGACGAGGGGGCGGTGGGCGGGGGCTCCCGCAGGGGCGCTGGGGCGGGGGAGCTCGGGGCAGAGAGCCACGGCGCGGGGGTCCCACTCTGGCGCTGGGGGCGCGGGGAGGGGTGTCTGTGTGCGCGACGCGGAATAAAATGGTCGGAGCTCTAGACACCCTGTGCAAGAGGAAAGACACAAATAACCAGATTCCCCATATTTCCCCATATTTTCTGGGTTTCTGTCTTCCCCCCCACTTCCCATATTTTCCCATATTTCTGGGGAATCGACGATTGATTGTGTCTGTGTGTGTTTTCCCCTCCTGAATCCAGGACACCGCGGCCTTGAGAGGAGCAGCAGCAGAACTTCGCGAGCGCGGGGGACAGCGCGAGGCGCACGAGAAGCCGCCGAGCTGCCAAGGCCAGGACAAGACGCTGGACTAGGTCGGGCATGTCCTCCCACAGGCGGATTTCAGAGGAAAAACCTATATACACATATATATATATATACATGTATACATATAAATATATATATATATATATATATATATATGTCGAAAAATCGTCGAACGAACGAAGTGCCATACGCCGGAGCGCGTGGGCAAAAGACACCGCCAGCCTAATCTGACCGCTTTGCGGGAGCGGCTGCAAGCCGTCTGTCTCCGACTTTACAACGTGCGTGAGTGGAAGAGAAGAGAGAAGCGGAGGAAAAAGAGGAGGGCAGGGGTGGGAGACGAGACAGGAGGGCGGCACAAAATACATGCATTCTTGGCTTGAAGGTGCCAGGGCGCAAGGGCAAACGACTAGAAGACCTTCTCCGGGTCTAGCCCCAAACTCTCCGTGAAACGTTGCACGAAGACTTCCCACACCGTCGAATTGCCCCCCAAAAAAAAAATCGTCCCCACGCTGTGTTGTTGCCCCTTTTTGCATCCTCCTCCTGTAGAGGGACATGCCCGACGGAAAGCCGGGCAGCAAGGACACGAGGAGGCACGGCATCCGCAGCAGAGCAGCGCGGGCCCGGGCGAGGCGCTGGGCGCAGGGGGGCGCCGCCGGCGCACGACGCGCCGCCGAGCGGCAAGCCCGACCGGGGTGGGCAGGCGCCGGGCCGCAGAGGCACGGAGGCCCGCGAGGGCGCGGCCCACAGCGGGAGGCGCACCGCGGGCCCACGACGAGGGCGAGGCCCACGAGGAGGGCGAGGCCCACGACCACGGCGAGGCCCACGCGCGCGGGGGACCTCGCGCGACCGCGGCGCCGGCGCCGGGCACCGCGGCGGAGGAGGAGCAGCAGGGCCGCAGTCGCTCGGCCACAAGAAGGCCTCCGCGAGAAGCCCGGCCCTGGGACCCCGGGACGCCCATGGTGTCGCTTCGCTTCTCGCTGTGGCAGCGTCGCGCCCTCCACGGCAGGACCATGCGGGCCCAGAAGAAGCCCAGGGCACCCTGGAGGCAAGCAGGCCGCTTCCTGGCATGGGTCCCCCCACTGCACGGCGACCCGGCCAAAGAAGACGAGGGGCACGCAGGGGCGCGCAGAGAACCAGGGCACCACTCTCGGTGCGCGAGGTGCCGCACGGCTTCCCCGATCTCGTCCACGCTTGCGTGAAGAGGCGCCTCCTGGAGGGCGACGTGTCGGGGAACGAACAACGAGCGGAGCGGCGGCCAAACAGCCGTCCAGCGGGACGGCTCCATAGTGCGTAGAGCTCACGGAGAGGCCAGCAAATCCAGCGGACAGTGACTCGGTGAAACAGGGAAACATCATGCGGTGTGGCAGAAAAGGTCCGGGAAGGAGGGAGGGGGGAACGAGCAATGACATAAGCATAAAAACTCGGAGATCCGCGCGGATTTCTCGGATCGGAGCTGGAGACCCCTGGCGGCGCCTCCGGCGCCACCCCTGGCGCGCTCCGCGCGCCAGGGAGGGTGGTCCAACGCCGATTCGAGAAATTCGCGCGGACCTCCGAGTTTTTATGTTTATGTCATCGCTTCTTCCCCTAACGTAGTCACTGACAACTGGATGTGCGCCAGGATCGAAGAGTAGCTCGAGGAGGCAGTCGCTGCTCGGACATGCCTACGCGTCTCCGAGCAGAATGACCAAGGATTCACCGCTCGGACTGCTAAAACACGCGGACACTTGCAGGGGGATCCAGTCAGCACAGATGAGGGGCAGAGCGACACCGAGAGCGTAGGAACGACGAATACCGAACAGCGAGAAGATCAGGAGGCGGCAAAGAGTGAGACTGATATCGGAAAGTGCGGGTGCTACCCAACTGGCGTACCCCTGCATGGGGAAGCTGGTGCAGGCAGGGCCTGAGCGTAGTTGCGCCTGCACACCCCACTGATAAAGTGACCAGTGACTACAGCTAGGCCGAACTAGAATTTATAATGCTGCTGGGCTCTAGTCGACGTGCAGTAGCCCCGAACTCTGCCCGAAAGCTCGATCGATCGATCCTCCTCCTCCTCCTCCTCCTCCTCCTCTCTCCTCCTCCTCCTCCTCCTCCTCCTCCTCCTCCTCCTCCTCCTCCTCCTCCTCCTCCTCCATCCCCCCCTCCTGCTCCTTGTCCTCCTCCCCCGCCACCCACTCCTGGGCGGGGGGGAGAGAAGAAGGGGGCAGCTCTCCTGCCCATCCGCGGTGCGGCTCTCGGTGACGAGCTGCACCGCGCGGGCCAGTTTCACCCTTTGTGCGATCGGCGCGGTGCCTTTACCACCACCACCACCACCACCACCACCACCACCATCATCATCATCATCATCATCATCATCATCATCATCATCATCATCATCATCATCATCATCATCATCATCATCATCATCATCATCATCATAGTCATCATCATCATCATCATCATCATCATCATCATCATCATCATCATCATCATCAGCAGCATCATCATCATCATCATCCTCTTCCTGCTCATACTGCTCCTCCTTCGCCTCCTCCTACCTCCTCCTCATCCTCGCCCTCCTCTGTTCTGTCCCTCCTCCTCCTCCTCCTCCTCCGCCTCCTCCCCCTCCTCCTCGTCCTCCTCAGCAGCAGCAACATTATCCTCATCAGCATCATCACCACCTCCTCCTCCTCCCCAGCAGCGGCAGCAGCAGCCTCACTAGAATAAGCAGCATCATCGCCATCATCACCACCACCATCACCATCACCATCACCATCACCAGTACCATGACAATCGTCCATCCGTCGTCATCCCCTATCATCATCATCATCATCATCATCATCATCATCATCATCATCATCATCATCATCATCATCATCATCATCATCATCATCATCATCATCATCTTCATCTTCATTATCATCATCATCCGCAGCAGCAGCGGAATAATCATCAGCAGCAGCATCATCATCAACATCATCAGCATAATCTGCAGCATCGTCAGCAGCATCAGCATCAGCAGCATCATCAGCATCATCACCAGTATTAGCAAAACCGTCATCATCATCGGCATCATCATTGGTGTCATCATCATCGTTGTCATCAGCATTATCATCAGCAGCAGCAGCGTCTTCATGAACATCATCAGCATCAGCAGCATCAGCATCATCATCAGCATCAGCAGCAGCATAATAATCATGATCAGCATCACCATCAGAATCATCAGCATCATCATCATAATCAGCATCATGAGCACCAGCATCATCAGCAGCATCATCGTCAGCATCAGCATCATGATCAGCATCACCATCATCATCAGTACCAGCATCATCATCAGCAGCAGCATCATCATAATCACCAGCGTCATCATCGTCGTCGAAAACAGCAGCAGCATCGTCACCACCACCACCAGCATCATCATTATCAGCAGCATCATGATCACCATCCTCATCATCATCTTCAGCATCGGCATCTTCATAAGCAGCATCATCAGCATCAGCATCATCAGCAGCAGCATCATCAACATTAGCAAAACCATACTCATCAGCAGCACCAGCAGCAGCATCATCAGTATCAGCATCATCCTCCTCATCATCATCAGCATCATCAGTGTCATCATAATCATCATCAACAGCATCATGAACATCATCATCATCATCAGCAGCAGCAGCAGCAGCATCAACATCATCAGCATCATCAGCATCATCAGCATCAGCATCATCAGCATCAGCATCATCGTCAGCATCATCAGCAACATGAGCAAACCAATCAGAATCATCATCTCAGAAACAGCATCATCAGCATCAGCATCATCATCAGCATCATCGTCAGCATCAGCATCATGATCATCATCATCACCATCATCACCATCATCATCATCATCAGCAGCATCAGCATCACCATTGTCATCATCATCCTCACCGCCGTCGACAACAGCAGCAGCATCATGACCACCACCACCAGCATCAGTATCATCAGCAGCATCATCAGCATCGTCATCACCATTATCATCATCATCAGCAGCAGCATCATCAGCATCCGCATCATCACCATCGTTATCACCATCATCATCGTCAGCATTAGCAAAACTAGCATCATCACCATTATCAAAATCATCACCATTATCATTACCATCATCATCGTCAGCATCATCAGCAGCAGCATCTTCATGAGCATCATCGTCATCATGAGCATCATCATTATCACGATACCCATTACCGATATCACCATCATCAGCATCACCGCCACAACCACCACGACCACCACCATCATCATCATTATCATCACCACCAGGATCATAATCATCAGCAGCAGCAGTAGCAGCATCATCGTCCGCCTCCATCTCCTCCTCCTCCTCCCCACTTCTCCTCCTCCTCCGCCTCCTCCTCCCTCCTCCGCCTCCTCCGTCCTCCACCCTCCTCCCAGGGTGGGACCACCCTGGCCTTACCCGGGATCTTGCCCTTCAGCTCCATGATCTTTCTCAGGTGGTCGTTGTTCGTCTTGCTCTGTAGCAGCGTCTTGCCCGTGAATATCTCGAACAGCGTGCACGCCAGCGCCCACGTGTCGACCTGTTCGTCGTACACGCACCCGAGTATCACCTCGGGCGCGCGGTAGAACCGGCTCGCCAAATAACTGAAGAAGAAACAGCGGTACAAACGTAAACTTCCAGAGCACCGCGCGGACTTCTCGGATCCGCGCTGTGCCCCTCTCCCTGGCGCGCGGAGCGTACCAGGAGCGGCGCCAGAAGCAACACCAGCGGAGCTCGGCGCAGATCCAAGAAAACCGCGCGGACCTCCGAACGGGTATGCTCATTCCGTTGCCCTTCTTCGGGATACGGGGTGACGTTGATGTCCTTGAACTCGATGGCCGTGCCTAGGTCGCAGTACTTCACGACCTGGTGCCCCTTGGCGATCAGTATGTTGTCGGGCTTGATGTCGGCGTGTATGATCTTCATCTTGTGCATGTGCCCGAGGCCGACTATCAGCTGCTGCGTGTACGCGCGCACCGCTGGCAGGTGCATGCCTTTGTTCTTGGTGTACTTCTTCAGCGCCCCTCGCAGGTCGTCCTGCATACCCTCGAACACGAGGCAGAAGTGCTTCCGGTACGCAAACGTGGAGAGCAGGCGGATGATGTGCCGCTTGTCCTTCTTGTCCGCCGCGTTGAGCCGCTCCAGGATGCTGACCTCCTGCTCCGCGGCCTTCGTCATCATGGCGTTGGCCCTAGCAGGCCAGCTGAAGCCCGACAGGCGGGGGAGACTAAGGGGGGGAGGCGGAGTCCCGGCATGGGAGCACGGCCCATGCCACGCGGAAGAGATCCGAGAGTCTTCGAGCCAGCGTGCACAGACTCCCGGCGCCGCGAACAAAAGAAAAGAGGCTGGCATTGCCTCGCGATGTCGGCGCCCTGGGGCCGTTTCCACGCCCCGGGGCCATCAGAGGTCAGCCTGCAGCGGCAGGCTGGAGTCCTGGGGGGTGGCGTGCGAAGGTCCTTGGCGCCTCAGGCGTGAGCCTCATCCTCCTCCCCCAATCTCCCTCCCCACCGTTCTCCATTTCCTTCCCCTCCTCCTCCTCCTCCTCCTCCTCCTCCTCCTCCCGTTCTTCCTCTTTCTTCCTCATCATCCTCTGGACCAGCCAGCCCTGGCCGTTTGGCGAGCAGGGCCTGAGGATCTTGACGGCCACGAAGGCGCCGGCCTGGTCGCCCTCCGCCTGCTGATCCTTGGCCTTCGCCGCGGAGGAAGGATGAGGAGGAGGAGGAGGAGGAGGAGGAGGTTGCCGCAGGCATTCTGGGATGGCCGGGCGGCTGTCAACGGTTGCCAGAAGATGGAGGAGGTGTTCTGCAAGTGATCGGTGGTATTCAGAGGTGTTATGAGGCTGTTCCTGCAGGCGTGATGGGGTCCGCGCGAGCTTCTGAAGGTCATCGGGGGTGAAATACAGAGAGAGAGAGAGAAAGAGAAAGAGAGAGAGAGAGAGATAGGCAAGAGACGGCGAAGGTGGAAGAAGAGGAGGAGGAGAAGGAGGGGAAAGGAATGGAGAATGAGAAGAGGAGGATCATAAGCAACAGCAGAAGGAGGAAGCGGAGGAGGGCAAGGACGGAGTGTGTGCATACATATATATATATACACACGATATCTCTCTCATAGGGAGAGTTGAGGGGGAGATAGGAGACAGTAGGAGGAGCAGGGCCAGGGGAATGGAAAGAGAAGAAATATAAAAATAAGGAAGATCGATGATGGCAAATGAAGAGACAGGAGAGAGGAGGAGAAGGCGCAGACGGAGGAGGAGGAGGAGGAAGAGGAGGACAAGACAGAGGAGGAGGAAGAGGACCAGACTAGAAGTAGTGAGATACGAAGTTGCGAGAGACTACACAGAAGGAGAATGTGTATCGGATAAGAGGGAGAGGAGGCAGAGCGTCGGGAGAGAAGGAGGAGAATGATGATGATGATGATGAGGAGGAGGAGGAGGAGGAGGAGGAGGAGAAGTAGATAGACAAGGGAAGAGGTAGGAGAAGGGGAATGAAGAGGAGTAGGAATGAGAGAGGGAAAGAGAGAGGGAGGATTGCGAGAGGAGGATGAGGAGAAGGAGAAGCCCGGGGATGGAGGAGGAGGTGAAGAAGAAGCGGCAGCAACAGCAGGAGGAGAAAGCGGACAAGGACAAGGACGGAGAGAGGACAAGGAGGAACTGGAGGAGACGAAGAATGAGGAGGAGGAAAACAGACGACGAGAAAGTAAGAGACAGGAGGAGGTGGCGGAAAGAGAGGTGGAATACCAGACCAGAACTCGTGAAATCCGAAGGTGCGAATGGCCTTGCAGCCGCGAGATTGCGCAAAAGGAAAAAGCTAATTAGAAAAGAAAAGAAGAAGAAGAAGAAGAAGGAGAAGTGGGAAGAACAGCAGCACAATGAGGAGAGAGAAGGAGAGGAGGAGGAGAGAGGAGGGAGAGGAGGAGAGAGGGGGAGGGGAAGAGGAGACAGGAAGAGGAGAGGAAGAGGATGAGGGGGAGCGGGAGCGGGAAGAGCAGCAGCACGACGAGGAGCGGGGAAGCGCAAGGAGAGGTCAAGGGAGCGCCAGGAGACAAGGCGGCGGGGGGGAGGGAGGGGGGGGGTGGGCGAGGGGCAGCGGTGCACGGACGACCCACCAAGGAGCTCGGGCCACGCACCGCCCAGCTCCTCCCCTGGGGCGCGCCTTCACCACGTTCGAGAAGACGCCGCGGCCCCCGGACGTCTCCACGACGAGGAAGCGGTCCCCCATGACCTCCCCGATCTTGGGGATGTAGTACCTCGGGTCGGCCGCGCGCGCGCCTGCCGCCGCCAGGGGGGGGGGCGCGGTGCGCGGCCTCCCGTCGCGCCTCACGGGAGCCTCCAGCACCAGCCTGCCAGCGCTGGCGGATCGGCGCGGATCGACGCCGGATCGGCGCTGCGCGGCGCTGAATCGACGCTCATCGACGCTCATCGACGCCAGCCCACGCGCAATGGGCGCTGTCTCATCGATTCCAGACGCCAAGCGATGCGAATCGGTGCGCAAGACAAGAATCAGAGGGTACACCAGGCTCCCATGGCTCGTCGTCGAAACATCGCGAGCTGGGGGAGGAGGAGCTCCTGGAGATCCGCCAGGTCCTCGCGCGGCTCTTCCTTGACGCCGTGCGCGACTGCTCGAGGCAGGGAGTGGGCGGCGGGGTGAGAGGCCCCGCATGGGCAGAGCAGCAACTGCAACGGCGACGGATCATGTTTCGGCCGCCCGCCTCGCAGTATGCGCCGCCAGCTGTGCCACGACGGCCCCGCACCTCTCGTGGCGCTGTGGATCGGGCCGCTCGGGAGGAGACGAGGGCGCCCCACTACTCGCAGAGTAGCTGCTCGCAGACGGCCTGGATCCGCCGTGGGGGCCCAGGATAAGTTACACATCGAAGCGGGGATGCGTTTCCCGGACGTTTGCGAGCAGGCACCATGCGAGCAGTGGAGCACGCTCGGTGAGGGAGGGCACTGGCCCTCGGGGCCTCGGACCTGGCCGCCGCTGGCATAGCACCTGCGAGGGAGGCGGCGGCGGGCTCATCAGGAGCACAGGTCAGGTGTGCCGCAACCTGAAAAAATCAAGCGGTTGCCCACGTTCCTGGAGCGCGCCGCGTAGCGGTGCTTTCGCACGTGGGGGTGGGGGCTCGTACGCCTCTCGGCGCTCGGAGCGGAGGTGTCCCTGAGGTCAGAGAGCGCCCGAAGACGACAAAATCGGCGAGGGCGGGAGGAGGAGGAGGAGGAGGAGGAGGAGGATGAGGAGGATGAGGAGGAGGAGGAGGAGGAGGAGGAGGAGGGACGGGGGGAAGAGGACGGGGGGAAGAGGGGGCAGGATCGCAGGGAAGCGAAGAGCGCGCGCTCCCGTGCCCACGCCCTCGGCGCCCTCCTCTTGCCTGAAGAGGCCCCGGGCGAGCTGGCGGCTCGATCGTCTGGCCGACGGTGGGGGGCTCGGAGGCGAGCGGGCGGAGCCTAGGGGAGGCCACGACCCCCGCGGTCCGATCCACCGGCACCAGAAGCGGAGCGGGACGAGGAGGGCAGGGAGGAAAAGGTGGATGGAAGGCACACGCACACACAAACACACATACACACACCACACACACGCGGACACACACACACACACACATACACACACACACACACACACACACGCTAACACACACACACACACACACACACACGCACACACACACACACACTCTTGGCGTCGCAGCCCCCCACGCGCGCAGCGACAGGGCGTCCAAAGTCGGACAAGAGAACGCGCGCGCGCGACTAGCGGCCGAGCCCTCAAGCCGGTCAGACCGAGCAGCGCCGCGGCCAGCCATAGGTCATCCGGGCATGGCAGACCGCGGGGGCAAGTGGCAATGAAACGGCAAGCCACGAGGGCGAAAGGGCGGCACATTAGAAAATACAGCTATGCCATGGCCACACGACTGGCAGAAGGGCTGGACACGGCGCAAGGGGGCCGAAGACCAGCAGTGGCGGCGAGGACACCGCAAAGGCTGTAGCGCAGAGGTCGCAGCGCACGCAGGCCCGTAGGGAAAACACACACACACACATACGCCGCAGCGCGGCAGAGGCAGTCCGCACGCGCGCTCGGGCAAGCCGGGCGACGGCATTGCGAATTGTCCAGATGCGAAGAGCAAGACGGGGAAGGAAAGAGCGGCTGGGGGAGGAGGGGAAGAAACTAATGCGCTCACACAACGGGGTCCGCAGCGAGGCGCCCGGGGCGGCCAAGCTGGTGCTGTACCCCTGGCAACGGGCACGGGGCGGCGTCGCGACCACACCCAGAGGCCAGGGCAGCGGCTGCAGTGCGGGAAGTCGACCGCGGCAGCGGAGCCAGAGAGCGTCCCGAGTTGCAAAACGCAGAGGGACTGAGCTGGGCAGGCTGCAGGTCGGGCAGTGGCTGTTTTGTGGCGATCGCGAACGGGACCCCACGCGCGCGCCAGCCTCAGAGCAGGGCCGCGCCATATGCCATACGGGCGTGCACGGCAAGGAGAAAGTGGGGACGAGAGACGAGACCGAGCCGACAACTGGGAGAAAGGACCCACCACGGCTAAAAGCTACGGCGAGCGACAGCGAAGGGCGAGGTGGCAGGCGCGCACTCAGAGAGAGCGGGTTCCTGCCAGCGGACAAGGCGTGAGAGAAAGGTGACTGGAGAAAGTGGCGGAAGGGCAGAGGCGTAAGAGGGGCGGCACGCTCAGCGCCTTGGCTTGCGACGCCCGTGAGGCCGAGAAAGGGCGCGGGAAGGGTGCCGCTTCTGGGAACACATACACACACATGCATGCATGCAAACATACAAACATACAGGCATGCATACTTGCATACTTCATACTGACACACATACACACCTGCATACAGACATGCAAACACCAAAAAAAAGGTGCATATACACACACACACACACACACACACTCATACGCAAGCACAGGCAACCGCAAGCAAACTGTGGCACCAGCTGGCACCTTCGGTGATCACACGTTATGGCTTCGCTGCTCGTTCGCGCCGCTGCAGACACGCCCGGACGGGCAGCGGCGCTCAAAGAGAAAGGCACGAGCCCTTCGCCCGAGCAGAACATCGAGTCTGTGATTCCCGCTCTTGCGTGCGCGGATCCGAAGGAAAAAAACAAACAAGTCGAAAACAACGCAAGACAAATCAGGACAAAAAGAATACAACACCAAACAAATGGAGACGGCCACGCTGTACGATTGCGCGCTTCCACCGCGGCCTGACAATCCACTCTGCCAATAGCGCCAAGTGGCGGCGGCGCGAGCCCGCTATCAAAATCGGCCTTCGACCCCACGATCGGGATGAGTTCCACGATCACGGCGCCCCCAGGCCTCACAATGTCCTGAGCGTGTAAGGCCGACCGGCTCTACTGAGCCCGGCCCCCAAGACCCCTGCCACACCAACCCACCCACCCACACACACACACACAAACATACACACACACTTTCAAGCCGGCGGCGCAGAGGGTCCTTAAGCGCGGGCAGCAGATGGAAGTACGAACTGCGACCGATCATTGTCGATAGCGCCACACATGCACACTTTGGGCGTTTTTTGAACTCAACGCTCCACAGCCTGATATCATCTCGAGCAGCGGCGGCTGGAGACGCTGCAAGCACATAATCACACCAGGAAGTACAAGACGAAGCGTAATGCGGTCCTATGTACACGGGGGGCCCGCATCGCCCCCCGCGGCCCTGCACGCAGCGTCAGCGCGGAGAAAAAACACACACATACACACACCTCGGCGCAAGTCCCCCGCGCTGCCGTGGAGGCACCTGGGGCTCGGAGGCGGCCCGGGGTCGTCTGCGCCAGATCGGCCCCGAGACTATCGGTCCGAAGGGGGCGAGTGAAGGCAGATCTGCTCAAAATCTGGAGTCCCGAAACGGTGCGGTGACAGACCGTGCGGTGACCTCGAAATCCCCCAAGACCTCACCGCACGGTCGGTCACCGCACGGTCTTGGGGACCCTGGAGGCCCCTGTCGCCCGAGACACCCTCGGAGAGGGGCTCGAGACCCAAAACCGTGCGGTGACCCCGAATCCCCACCAACTCTCCACACGGTATGGTCACCATCCCGTTTGGGGGCCCCCGAGAATGAAGGCGGATCCGCTCAGAATCAATCCCCAGACCCCTCCCGGGATCCGTCGGTGCAGATCTGCTTGAGCAGGGGCCGACCGTCCCTGCATTCCCATAGGCCTACCACGACCTGCTCTTAGAACCCAAGAATGCTCTCAGGGCAAAGCAATGGTCTTAGAACCTAAAGCCGATGTGTGAAACGGGACAGCCCCAGGCCAGAAAGGTTTTTCTTGGAACATTGCGTGCAGCCCACAAGAGGTTCTTCGAACATTCTCTGGTGGGCCTATAAGCAAGCCAGAACGCGTCGCCACTGCTCGATAGGCACCCCAGCTCCGTTTTCGGCGGCCCTTTGGGGGGCCCGAGACCGCCCCCGCAGGACCGAAACGGGCAAGCCAAACCTTCTGAAAGCCCACAGCATCGAGCCTCGCCCCCTCCCCCTTCCTTAGGGGAACAACAGGTGGCATAAACAGAAAAACTCGGAGGTCCCTTGTGGGTGCTTTCTGGGCACGCCGCTCGTCGGGAAACCATCGATCATACTACGTACTGTTTGTGTGCTACACTAGGGGAACAAAAAGTGGCATAAACATAAAAACTCCGAGGTCCGCGCGGATTTCTCGGCTCGGCGCTGGGGCCCCCCGGCGGCGCCTCCGGCGCCGCCCCTGGCGCGCTCCGCGCGCCAGGGAGGGGGGTCCAACGCCGATCCGAGAAATCCGCGCGGACCTCCGAGTTGTTATGTTTATGCCCCTTTTTGTTCCCCTATTCCTGACTACCTGCCAGACCACCCCAACCCAACCCGAAGACCCGAACTTCGGGTTTGGGGGGGGGTACGGGCTCCACATGCGTTTCGCTCCACGCTCCCGGGCCCCTCCCCCACCGGAGACGGAGGGCAAGCTGAGGCCTTCGGGATGGGTTGGGGTGGTCTGGTGTAGGAAGGCACCAACTATACACCAACACCGATCCTGGCCAGGATCACCCTGGGCCCAGGATCGGTGTATACGCCCTCCTGCCTTGGGCAAGAAGGCATATACACCGATCATGGGCCCAGGGTGATCCTGGGCCAGGATCGGTGTTGGTGTATAGTTGGTGCCCTCCGATGGTGGGTGCTGACTCTCTGCTGGCCATAACGAGCGCTGGGCCAACCAGGACCCCCCAGCCGACTCCCACCTGGGACGCCACGTGCCGGGGGAAAAGCCCGGGACTCCCGGAGGAGTCCGGGCCGCGCCGTGGCCCGCCGCGCGCCGCGATCCGCGGGATCCCTCTGCCCGAGCGGGGCGCCCCTCCGCGTCGTCCCAGTCCTCTCGGGGAGACGTAAGACCCGGGTACGGGGGACTCGGAAATCCCCGACGAGGTCGTCAAAAAAATGACGAGGCCGAGCCTGCATTTTGACGAGGCCTCCCGCTGCAGACATCCCACGAAACTCCTCCTCGTCAAAATCCGAGGCGCGGTCGTCAAAAAACGATGGCGAACCCGAGTCCTGGCAAACCCGGGTCTTACGCTCCCCCGATCCTCCCCGGAGGCGCCCGTGAGGCCGATGGCAGCGGACTGCCGCATCGCCTTCTTCAGCTCGTCGGCCGCCTCCGCGCGCTCGTCGAACATGTCTCCCATCCCCTCCTGCCCGCGAGGGGGGGGGGGCGCCGCACGCCGCCGCCGCCGCCCCGCCAGTGGCGACTCACGGCTGCCTCCCGTACCATCTTGTCGGCTCTTGCGAGTCGACGCTGATCGACGCCAATCGAAGCGAAATCGATGCTAAATCGACGCTCGTCGACGCTGACCGACGCTAAATCGGAGCTACCTCATCGACTCCCAGACGCGAATCGACGCTCATCGACGCCAAAGACGGCATGAAGAGGGTATTCGGGGGCGGCCAAGAGGGGGGCGTCAGAGAAGGGGGCGGCGCAAATCGTGGCCGGCGGCATGTGCGTGGCCCACGGGGGTGCCGGGAACGTGATGAACTAAGAAGAGGCGCCGTGAAATCTGGGGAGATGTCATGGCCCACGCCATGATATCCACCACCACCCTAGTCTTAGGTCGGGCCTGTCCCCCTACACGGGGGTTTTGGGTTCCGCTGGCGCTGGTTTCGCCCAGCTGGTTTCGCCCCGCTGGTTTCGCTGGCGGCTGGTTTCGCCGGCGCTGGTTTCGCCGGCGCTGGTTTCGCCGACGCGAGCCCTAACGGGCGGGTCGAGTCGGGCGGGCGGGACATTAAAATGTGGGGCACGCTCGACCGAGCACGCGCGAGCCCTAACAGGCGGGTCGGGTCGGGTGGGCAGACCCTAGCGGGCGGGTCGGGTCGGGTTGGGCGGGCGGACCCTAACGGGCAAGTCGGGTTGGGCGGGCGGGACGTGAAAGTGTGGGGCGCGGTCGACGAAACACGCGCTAACACTAACGGGCGGGTCGGGTCGGGCGGACCCTAGCGGGCGGGACGGGTCGGGTTGGGCGGGTGGACCCTAACGGGCGGGTCGGGTCGGGCGGGCCGTACAATAAAGTGTGGGGCGCGCTCAACCGAGCACGCGCGAGCCTTAACGGGCGGGTCGGGAAGGCGGAGACCCTAGCGGGCGGGTCGGGTCGAGTCGGGCGGGCGGACCTTGACGGGTGGGTCGGGTCGGTCAGGCGGGACATGAAAGTGTGGGGCGCGCTCGACCGAGCGGGCGGGTCAGGTCGGGCGGGCGGACCCTACCGGGCGGGTCGGGTCGGGTCGGGCGGGCCCTGACGGGCGGGTCGGGGCGGGCGGGTGGGACATGAAGGTGTGGGGCGCGCTCGACCGAGCACGCGCGAACCCTAACGGGCGGGTCGGGCCGGGCGGGCGGACCCTAGAGGGCGGGTCGGGTCGGGCAGTTTCGCCGACGGCAGCTGGTTTCGCCGACGGCAGCTGGTTTTGCCGACGGCAGCTGGTTTCGCCGACGGAGCTGGTTTCGCCGACGGAGCTGGTGTCGCCGGGCGGCGAAACCAGCCAGGTGAAACCAGCCAGGCGAAACCAGCGGTCGCCCCCTCGCCGGGGCCTCGGGACCGTCGGAAAACGACTCGGGATGAAAAATCGGCCCCAGGGACAGGGTCGGGACTTTCAGAGACCCCGCATTGAAAAAATCAAGACGTCGCATGTCTGGGAAAGTGCCAAAGAAAGACGTGGGCCCAGGGCTTCGGTCGTGACTGTTCACGCTGTTGCTTCTGCTCGCGCGACGTCGGATCGAAGGGAGGGTCGACAGCATCGCAGATCGATCACGCTCGAAGCGTGCCAAAGAAAGACGGGGGCCCAGGGCTCCGGACATGACGTTTCACGATGCTGCTCTTGATCGCGACGTCGGACCTGAGGGAGGGCCGACACACTATCCTCGTGCCGTGACGAGCCCGGCGCTGATTTCGGCCACCGCGTGGATCGTTCAACCCCAACCTTCGGCGTTCGGCGGCTTCTCCATCGCCCGACCGCTTCATGCTGGCCGGCCCTGGGCCGTCGGCGGCACTCCGCCTCGCACGCCCGCGCCAGGGTCGCAGCCTCGTCGCCACGGCACGAGCCTGGCCGCACGTGCCAGCCTGGGCCCTGGATGCCCGCCCCGGCTAGGGGTGGCCGTGGCACTGCGGATGCCATGACGATGGACACTCTAACAATCCTATCATTGAACTTGAAAGGTGTTGAACATGTGTAAACATGTTCTAAACATGTTTCAGACATGTTTTTACGTATTGAAAACATGCTTGAAACATGCTCTAGACATCTGGGACTTTTTTTGGCAGCACGCTTCCTCTCCCTTAATCGACTCCCACAACCGTAGCATGCTGGCCGCCCCCTGCGGATCCTTCTTCTCCTCTGCCCCCTTCGCCTCGTCCTCCGCGCCGGCGGTCTCGCGGCCCGCCCGGGCCGAGCCGCTGTCGGCGGGCTTCTCGCCTCCAACCACCCCGGGGCCTGGGGCCTCGCCGCCCTTGTCGGAGGCCATCTTCGCCTTCATGATGGCCTCGCGGCGCTTCCGGGCCTCCTCCAGCTTCTTGTCGCGGGCCTCTTCGTCGGTGGACAGGTCCCGCTGGTCCTTCCGGCGGGCCGCGCGGAGCGCAGGCCTGCGCCCCCTCGGCACCGCGGGAGGGGGTCGAAACCCTTCGGGGGGCACCTCGGCTCGAGCGGGGGGCGCTGTGGACAGGTGGTGGTGCGGAAGATGCCAAGGCTGAGGCGCAAGGCGCGACGGTCGCGATTCTGGTCGTTCACATCCGGCACACTCGCTGCGCCAGCCTCGTGCACGAGGGCTCCACTCGCAGAGGCCTCCCACCGTGGACTCCATGTGGTGACGTGGTTGGGCCCCCGAGGATCGGCCTGGCACCTCCAGCACCAAGCCCTCCTCCTCCTCCTCCTCCTCCCCTCCTCCTCCTCCTCCTCCTCCTCCTCCTCCTCCTCCTCCTCCTCCTCATCCACAAGACCCTGCGATGCAGAAGGTGGTATGGCTCCTGCCGACGGAAAGGGGGACACTCGCGCGAGCAAGAGAGCAGTCGAGGGTCTGGGGCCTTCGGGGAGCGCCCTGGGAAGCATGCACGCACGCTGGGCCCCCTCACCAGGCCGCCTGGGAATTCCCAATGCCTGCATCAGCGGGAAGCCCCCGTGGTGGAATCTGCGACGTTCTCGCCTCGCGCATCCGCTTCCCGGATGGTTGGCGCCCGGCCCGTTCTCCCACGGCGCGCCCGACCCGTGGCGCCGAGTCCCGGGAGGCTGCCTCGCCCCTGCATGTTCGCGTGCAAAGGCAAGCCCGGGTCGACCCCACCCTATCCCGCCCACCGCCAACGTAACTCCTCCACACGATGACAATAACAAGTCAAACAAAAACTGAGGAGGGGGACGGGAAGGCACTCCGCATGTACAGTTGCATCCATGTGTACGAATGCATATATAACACACGTACAAACATACAGGCCCACATACATGCATGCAGACATACATACATGCATACATGCATACATACATGCAAACAAACAAAAACATACATACATACATACATACATACATATATACATACATACATACATACATACATACATACGTACGTACATACATACATACATACATACATACATGCATGCATGCCTGCCTGCATGCATACATACATTACATTACATTACATTACATTACATTACATTACATTACATTACATTACATTACATTACATTACATTACATTACATTACATTACATTACATACATACATACATACATACATACATACATACATACGTACGTACAGACAGACAGACAGACAGACAGACAGACAGACAGACAGACAGACATGCATGCATGCATGCATGCATACATACATACAAACAAACATGCGTACGTGCAGACATACATACTAGAACCACGCGCGCGCTTCGCGCGCTTAGGCTCTAGTCACTCCCGCGACCACGCTCAACCCCGCCAATGCCGCCACGGCTATCACTGCCCTTTCCGCCACCACCGCGGTCACGACCACATCCGATTCCATGTCCATTATGGGCATGACCACCCCATCCACGACGACTGCACTTTCCGCAACCACTCTGAAGGCCATTGGTTCAACCTCTGCCTGTACCACCACCAATACCACTACCCTTGCCACTGCCACTGCCGCGAATCCACGACCACTATCATCACCACCACGGGTCGCTACACGTCGGGTCCTGGAAGTCCGGCGCATTCCTCGGGACTGGTATGTCATCCTGTCCAAGAGATTCGACAGCGTGACTTGTTGAACGCGGGGTCCCTGGAGTGGGCCCGAAGTCCGAAGACGTTCAATGGGCCCGGTGTTTCGTCGAAAATGTTTTACGGTCCCAGGCCCGGTTTCGGGCCTTAGGAAGCGAAGAGTGGTCCGGAAGCTTCGGGAGCGGGAAGAGTACCGGAGGGCGTCTGGTCAGGGGGCTGTTGGGGGGCCTCGAGGGAGCTTCGTGAAGGTTTTTTGGGGGCTTCTTGGGGGCGTTTTGGGGGTCTCTTGGGCCTCCTTGGGACCTCTGTGGGCGGAGAGCTTGAAATGTTCGTAGGGCATCCTCTCTGGGCCCCTGCTTGGGGCCGTCCTGGGTTCTTCTTGGGCCATCTTGGGGACCTCTTAGGCTAGCCAGGGGCCCTTTCGGGCTGTCTTGGAACCCTCTTGGGCTGTCTGGGGGCGATCCTGGCGGCCTCTCGGGCCGTCTTCGTTCCCCTGGAAGGTCAAGAGGCGAATCCCTGAAAAATGTACGTTTTCCAAAGGGAACGAAGCCATTTTTGCCTCTTGGGGCCCTCTTAGGAGGGCTCTTGGGGCCCTCTTGGGCTGTCTCGGGGGCTCCTGGGAGCACTCTTGGAGCCATCGTCGGCGTCTTCAAGCTACATTTCGAGGCTCGTGCGCCATCTTGATCTGTTTGGCGGCCTCCAGCGCCCTCGGGAGCCGTCCCGGGGGCGAGACCCCGGTACCCCCATGCGCGCTCGAGGTCGCAGTCCCGGGCCCCCGGACATACATACATACATACAGACAGACAGACAGACAGACAGACAGACAGACAGACAGACAGACAGACAGACAGACAGACGTACATACATACA